AAAGACCTTTTTATTACCATTAACTACCATATCCTACTGGTGGTTGATGATGTCTTAACCTCCATTAAAAACCGAAAACTCAAAAAGACTGGTCACTCTGGCATCAGAATAACAGTTTCATTTTGGACAAAATCTTGTACTATGGCTGATGAAACAAGAATTTAGACAGATGTATGATTGATTTATTATATATATTAAAGAGGCATTACTCAAGAGCTAAATCTGCCTATTGCAGGTGTTTCATTAGGCCTTAAATGTTATATAAATTAGACATTTATTAGGATCACAAGATCATAATCAACTCTTGATGCCATCGGATGGCTCAATTTTAAGTAGTTTATAATGGTTCGGCTATTTAATGATTTAATTTAAAAATTAAGAAGCAAAACTAAGCCTCGAATAACCAGCATCATGGTTATGATAACAAACAATCAATGACACATCTTGTCAAAACTACAAACATTGATAACTTCGCTCAGAATATATGAAATGAAATGAAATGAAATGGGGTTTAACGTCCTACTGTTCTGCTCCTAACCTGGGCTAATGAAGACGGGCATACGCCATACAGTGTGCTATGAGGGAAATTTTGCCCGGGCAGCGGCACTACGGCCTACTCTTATATCGAATTCTAACTGCCAAGGGATCTTTTACGTGCACGCCAATGTGTACACGGGACCTCGGTTTTTCGTCCCATCCGAACGACTAGACAGCTTTCCTTGTCAGCCCCTCCGTCCTGCATCACTGACAAGGGAGAACCACGCCGGAAAATCTGGATGAACTTTCTCGGCCAATGCAGGGATCGAACGCTCAGAATATAGTAATTTGAAGTATTATAGCAAGAACAGCCAGTTCTATATAAATTTTACATAATGTATCTTTAACATAGCTTGATAATATGCTATCAAACATTGCATACATCTAGTAATACATTCAGTAATTGTGTATCCATAAAATATGTTCAATTACTAATTGCCTATCAAAAAAGTTGCTAATATATAGTTTAAAGGGACAATAACACTCTTGCTGGCTTGACAGCTCCAGAAAATAAATAATAGCCTTATTCTAAGTATTAGATGTTTATGTGTCCTACCTGTTGTGTAAATTATCCATTAAATCCTATTTTACTTGTCCAGAGGGTTCGAAATTATTTAAAATCCAAGTCACAGTTGAAAAGGTTTACGTTAGGCTTTTCAAAACATTTAGTTGAATTTTTCCAATTTTTTAAATTAGGTGTGTTAAGATAAAATTTGTATCATCAATTAATTGGAATATTGTAAACTAGTACAATTTGTTGACCAGAATAAAGATTGAGGCATATTATTCAGTTACAACAAGAGTGATATTGAACCTTTCAATATTAAACTTTAACATTCATATTGAACTACTACTATAAACATTGTAAAACTAAGCTAGACAGGCATGTACATGTAACTTAAAACTCAATTTTCCTATAAATACTATCACCAAGGTATCCATTTCTCATCAATATAACTGCTGTTTCCACAGACAATTTTTTTATTATTATTGAATGGTGATTTTCCGATATTTGGGCTATTTCATCCATCTTGTGTCATCTAGGCTGTCAAATTCTCATTTATCCATTCACACAGATATAATAGACTGGCACATTCTCCTATTTTCCCAATCACTGAAAATAAATCGTCAATGTGCCAGCAAATTGGCTCAATACTAATCTAGCAATCGAGGAGAAGGGCCCCAAATCAACTTGACGTAAAATCTCTCATATTAATGTGGTCCACCAGACGCAATTTTCTGCTTAGTTGAAATTAATGTAGTTAGGTCTCCTCATGAGTTAGAGAATGATTATCTTGTTATTATAGACTATACTATGATGGACAGGTCTCTAGCACTACTACATAAAATACATGTACCGTCTGACTTGACATTGCTATTATATCACAAGCGAAAGTACATCCAGCCTCTTACAGAGGAATTCTCAATAAATATGTTGGGCTCTGTCCACTAATTATATCATCTCGAGGTACCCATCTCTTCCTATTTCTCCGCCATGCCCCCCCCCCCTTGTCAGTGATGCAGGATGGAGGGTCTGACAAGGACAGCTGTCTAGTCGTTCGGGTGGGACGGAAAACCGAAATACTGTGTATACATTGGCGTGCACGTAAAAGATCCCTTGACAGTTGGAATTCGATATAAGAGTAGGATGTAGTACCGCTGTTCGGGCAAAATTTCCCTCATAGCACAATGTATGGTGTATGCCCATCTTCATTACCCCTGTTCGGAGCAGAACAGTATAAGAACATTAAACCCCATTTCATTTCATTCATACATGTATGTTTACAGCATATCTTTTGACAATTGTAAAACAGGTTGTGTTTTGAAAATAGACTACTCTGTAAAGCTGAATGTAATGTGTCCTTCTAGATGCTTCTCTAATTAAAGTTTTTATGTTGCTTACATACAGTGTGTAGTACATTTAAACTACATTTAAGATTTAACAAGTTTGCATTCAACTGACCTGACATGACCTCTCAGTAATAAATTAAGAGGTGTTTTGTCATGGGTAAGAATGATTTCAACCAATCTCACCAGCTAAATTTACACTTTAAATACAACAAATAACAGTGCTAGTTGAATTTCATGAACCAAATAATTATCAAATATTCAACATCCAAGTTACTTCCTAGTACAAAAAAACACTCCAGCATTCTAAATCCAGATGTATAATTCAACTATACATGAATACAGATCTATATAAGCTTATAATTCAAACAATCAATTCAATTTATGGTGTATTACCATACATGGTACATGTACATTAATAATACAACAAAACAATCATCTTCTTAAATGGAACATGTGGTTTTATATCTCAGTAGTTGAATAAATTCAGTGGTTTAAACCTGGCTATTCTCGCACATGTACATTTGTGTAACAGCCATTTCTTTATTCAATAAGGGCTAATTTGATCAGTTTCTCCACATCTTTATCACATAAAACTAATCATGTAGGGTAGGCCAAGGGTTGGGTACTCCATACAATTCAATTACATACAGAAATGAAAGTTTGCTATAAGGGGCAGTCTTGGTTGTTAGCTGTGAAATTACATGTCCAAATCTGGCTTTATTAATGCCATCAAAAGCCAACTGATCATCGCCTACAGCACAGTGTAAAGAAAGCCGGAGACCCACATCAGATATAAAAATCCATGTTTTAAATTGCTGAGTGAAAATTGGTGAACCTAAAGTATGCAAAACACGATAAATCTGTGTTATCGATAAACTTAACTTAAAAGAGTAAAGATCATAAAAATAGAGAAGAAATAATAAAATGACAGTAAAGCAATCTGTTGTCATCATCTGTTAATATAAACCTGAATATCCATTATATGTTGACTACATAAAGAAATGGTTGCTACAGATTGTAATCATGCGATATTAATCTCTTGTATGATTATAAACTATAAGCCCATTCTTATACCCATCACATGTTCTATTTCAATCTTACTGAAATTGACATTTTACTGACATGTCTTGTTTGATTGTTGTGAACGGACTATTGGCACCAAGTCAACATATACATTTACACATTCCAATATATACATCCATTCAAATAAAGTACTTAATTAAACTTTGAGAAAACATCTAAAATAAGGTATCAATATTACTAACAGCTCTAACAGACAGATATATATACATACATGTATGTATAAAATATTAAAATAACAAATGAAAATTGTGCTGTGACAAGACCAATGACCAAACATGTACATGTACATAATGTAGCTGCTGTTGGAAATTATATAAAAGATTGTAGTAAGGTATAAACATTTAAAATATAATATAATCAAATATTACCTGATTACCTGACCCATGTATATTATAATATATATATATCCAAATAAATAATCTGTAATATTTGATGGTAGATACAATAGAAGCTGTGTATTATACATGTATCTCTAGATGTACATGTGACAACATGATCTTAAAAACTAACTTACATTCTATATATAATATGAACATCATTTACAGTACATGTTAATACTATAAATACTAACACTTATATAAAAACTATTACATATACCACCTACAGTCAATTGTTCTACCTACTTCCTCTATTAACGCTATATACAAATTACACATTGCTTATTAGGATTATTTGAATAGGAAGATCCAAGGATCTACATTACCTATTAAAATGTCTCTAATATAATCTGGTAATACATGGCTAGTTATATCTGTGAAAATTATATAATATTGTTTGTAGTTTAATCCCTTGCCTTCAGGCATGCACCTCGATTACAAAGGAGTACATGTCCAACACAGCTTTGGGCCATTTATAAATAATGTCCATCTACATGTACATGTGTCATAGATTTTACAATTGTACAAACTACATGTATTCATAGAAACAATTGTTTTTATACAGGGTACACACTGATAAACAGCTCAATGATTAGAATCATCTTTATTTACAAAGTTTGTTAGAAGAGTAGTAATGGTAAAGACATGTATCAGATAAAAACTGAAAGGATTCAAGTAACCATATATAAAATAATACTGAAAGAGTTTCAATATATTCAGTACAGACAAATCAGTGGATCTTCATGGTTCGTTGACAGTGAGGATAACTCAGATAACCAGGAGAAACCCCATGAGATCCAGCCAGCACCTACCTACTCCTCTTCACTTTTGCATATAGGGATCAAACTTTTATATGACAAGTTTAAGATCCACAATGAAACACCATTGGTCACCCAGTTTGCTATTACCTTGTAGTAAAAAGATATGTATTCTTATAACAACATCTGATTGTACCTGTCCATAGATGTATATATTGCAGGGGGTTTGCAGACTGTTACAAAACCTACATGTACTCATGTAACGAAAATGGACATCAAATGGTTTTATACTTGTACATGTACTCATGTAACGAAATTAAATATCAAATTGTTTTAATCTGAAATTATAAATAAATCTAGATAATATAATATGTATGTAATTACATGTACTTACTTGGTGTAATATAAACGACCATCTGTTGAGAGTTTCGCTTCACAACCTTCTTCCAACTCTCTGTTAATTCTCTTTAAAACATTATCCGAAGCCATTGTTGACCTTACAAAATTTCCCAGTATTATAGAATTAAATTAAGGTATATTCCATGGTTTTCTGTATATCTAACTTCTCTTCTAGTTAAATCACACTAGGCTATTATGGTAAAATTTATGCTTGCCGTCTGTGGCACTATAATGATGACACGATGATAACACTTCAACTATTCAATACTAAATGTTATCGTCTGTTCTGTGTGTTAACTTCTACAACACTATGATGATGAGCCACTTTATTTTACTATGAATACATGTCAAAAGATCATTTCTATTATGATATTGACAATAACTTCATTTACTGGTTTTACAGACCACATGAGAAGACCAGATCCATGTATCTACAGCACAGTGATTAGTAATCCAGATTAGCTTAATCTATTATTAATCTTTTTTTAACCATTGTTTCACATAAAAATATGTACCAATCACAGATAAGGTGAGTGGATTGTTTTACGTTGTTTTGTTCCATCAGTGTTACCGGTAGTGTGGACACCATGATGTGATGTCCATCTAATGTCGTCTACTGTAATGCTAGATAAAACTGGTAGTGGATCAATCACAGCTTACAACTATCTTCACTTAATATAACCTCCTCCATCTCTGTAACAAACAAGTAACATATAGTTACATACTTCAATTATACATGCAAGTCTGTAGATAAAATATTTTAATGCACTGTTACAAGCTGTTTTTAGTATTAGTTTAGGAGCTAAATCGCTAATATTTGGGACCTAGAAATTGACACAAATGGGTCGCAACGTATATAATAATGTAATATGAATGTAAATAAACTGATTTACATCCAATCGTTTCCGTTTTTACTCTAATTTCAAATCAGTTATGTTCGGCGAAATACGCCAGAAGTCTCAATCGAATGGCAATCTCTAGCGACTGGTTATTTCAGTCTACACCAATAGTACTTATTGCACATGCTCTCCAGATAAGAATATAATAATGTAATATGAATATATATAAACTGATTTACATTAGATCGTTTCCATTTTTACTCAAATTTCGAATCAGTTATGTTTGGCGAAATACACGACAAGCCTCAATCGAATGGCAATCACTAACGTCTGGTTATTTTAGTCTACACCGATAGTATTTATTGCGCATGCCCTCCAGATAAGAACTTGACGTCACTGTTTGAAATGACTTGTGGAATATGTCTAGCCTTGTTCTTTGAGTCCCTTGTTACAAATGGCGCTGAAACGCATTCTGGTTCACAATTCATGTACTTATGGTAAAATGTTTATTTTGTCTTAAATATTGGTTATCAGAAGCCCATCTTTTCCCGGTAAGATTACAATCAGTGTTGATTCAAATTGACAAATAATTTGTGTTTTCAATGGAAGACTGTGGATGATATTGAGTAAGAGACTTACATGTAGCTACTTTAATCTCAACACTGGCTTTATCTGCAGCTGACCTAAACTTGTTAATTTAGACTAATATCCACAAGTCTACATAAAACAACTCATCAAAATTATTTATTTTTATTCAATACCCAAATTAAAGTGTTGTATGAATGTGAAGACTAGTGATACATTTCTATCAATGTAAGTCAAGGGTAGGTTCAACTGACTGTGTAATCACTCTTAATCAGGTGTTAACATCTTCATATACAGACATCAACTGATGGATTGTTCACCTAATGACACACAAATATTTCAGGTATTACAAAATTATATATCATAACATATAACTTAAACATACATTATGCAAGAGCTAAATCTGCCTGTTGCAGGTCTTTCTTTAGGCCTCAAATTTTATATACACTATTAATTAAACATTTATCAACATGAAAAGACTTTAATCAACTCTCGATACCATCTTATGTGTCAAAAGTTTCAATCTGAAATACATGTAGATAAACATCAATCCAGAAACATATCCAAACTATCTAGAAAAATACATTTGTCAAAAAAACCATGGTATTCAGTAAAACATTTTTTTAACAATCTACAAATTTCAATATATAATCGCCTATTTAAATTAATTTGCATTAATTTTGGAAATAATAGTGATTTAAGCTGTAAAGTAGTAGGGATTTAGAAGCTTGTGTATTGCAATGCCTTCCTGCTGACCACCATACAATAGTTTAATTAGAGCCATACGATTCAAAGCTCCACAAAAAGCTGGCTGTAAATCAATCAATCACCAATAAGGAAAGGAACCTAGCTACTTTTTCAATCGGCAATTGCAACACATATTGAATGCCTGACAACTTCCAGCAGTTTTTCTCAAGATTTAATACATGACACTAGAGAGTATTATTGATAGAAAAACATTAGCAAGTGCATGTAATGGCTTCTATTATGGAGCAAACAAAATCATCACACGAATTCAGTGTTATTTGTATCAATATCTAGTACAAATTAAAGTATTCTATACCATGGCTTTGTGTTCATAAATTCCATATCAAGTCAAATCTAACAGAAAAAAGACAAATGTTTCAATGTAACCTCTTTTACCATTAACTTGTGCAAGACAGAGATTTAGTCTATGTATTACTATTCCAGCCAAATGTGTTTCTACATGTATGACAAAGTACTGATGTTTTAATTATCTGAAACAAATGAAGTTGCATGAACAAATCTATTACACCCAACCAGCGATGTTGATTAAAGGGAATAGAAACTCATTTATAATCATTCCAATTCTCCTTTCAAGTCCATTTCATCCCCTTGTTGGGGGTTCTAAAGAGTATATTTTTAAATCACTTCAATTAAAAATATTTCATATTGATTGGCTATTTTCTGAATGAAATAAACAGTCCAAAGTTTATGTACTTCAGTATCTCAGGGTAGTTTTCAATACTATCAACCAGTCGCTTCTGATTAACCATCATGTGTTGAAAATATTAAACACTTGATGAATGTTTTTTTTTTAAAACTGAATGATGCATTGTACTGTAATTCTCTTATGTTTTATTTGTCTGCCTCACAAACCAACAAATAATAAAAACTATAAAACAAAGCCACTTGGATCATAACTTAAATCGAAACCATCAAACCTTATTTCTCCTGTGCTTAAAAAATTACACTGGCTCCCCGTGCGAAAGGAATAATATTTAAAATAAATGTTATTACAAACATGCACAGGGCCGTAACTAGCTCCGAGCAACGAGAGGGATGGGAAGTGTTCTCAGGGGTGCTCTAAAATTGACGAAACTAAGGGGGGTTTATGGTTGACAATTTTTCCACAGGGGGAGGGGGCGAAACTTATTGCAGGTGGCGTGCGGGGGGGGGGGGGGGGCTTTGCCCCCCTTAGCCCCCACCCCCTAGTTACGGCCCTGAACATTCAACCTATGCTTAATAATATTGATTCTCCAAAGTATCTTCAAGAAATTATTACACTTTACTTTCCATCACATTCACTCTGCTCACAGAACGAGAATCTTCGTGTGCATCCTCAAGTGAACACTTAAAGTGGTAAGAGGACTTTTGTAGTAATATGGAGGGAAAGAATTTGTGCTTAGAAACTGCTATGTAAAATAATATTATGGTTTTGATTAATTATTTTCCATTGCCAAAATATTAGCTAAGGTATACCTTAAATTCTGAAAGGCAACTTAAAATTGTTTATGAATATTGTGACAATAACAAGACAGGGGGTCTACAGACAAAGAATGGAGAAATATGATGGCTAGAACAATAGCGTTATCTTTTATATTATTGATTCTAACTTCATAAACACAAATATAGAAAGTATATGCTGGTTATTTTGATATGTTAACTAAGCTATAGATTAATGAACATGTTGGTCGTTTACATTTTTCTTTGTTATAAAACATATATCATATTTGTTGACTAAATTAGGAAACAATCCCTGTCGATATACAGGTTTGGGGTGAATGTCCATTCCATATTTGGAATTTAGCTGTTATCAGTTGTTTACGTAAAAGAGACAAAAGAATAAACAGAGCCAAAAGAATATGCACCTATATAAGGGAGCGGGGCTAGAATAATTGGGAGAGATCATGTGGATTCTTTAGACGACTATTTCATGCGGAAGTGTTTTCCTGGGTCTAGCCATGCTGGCTAGATTTTTACAGGACTGGGGTTGGAGAGAAAGAGATGTTAATTTTAAATATTGTAATGTAGACTACTGTGTAAATAAAATGTTTAGCAAAAACACTATCGTTGTTCCTGTTACTTATTTGAGTCGGTATCGTGAGAAAACACAATGGTGAAGTCCTTAAGAAGAAAGATACAACAATAGCAGTCCAGAGCCAACCAACCCCCCATTAGATGATCAGGCCAAAAACTAAGATGTGTGGTTGGATAGTACTACACTTTTGCATGTGATGTCCCAACTTTATGGAATAGACTTCCAAAATGGATTAAAGACTCTAAAAACATTTCTTCTTTTAAGACTGAACTTTGCTGTTTACAGACCAGTATATACCTCATGTTTTAAATCACATCCATTGTTTTAAACTAATCTGGATTTACATGCTAATTTACATAAATCATTGATATCATGCTATTTAATGTTAAATTATCTTTCTAGCAATTTGAATTATGCCATTTTATGATGCATACATGTATTCATTTGAAGACATTAAACAAAGGGTGAAACAGCCTTCTAAGGAGAATCAGACATACAAATACTAGAGCTTCTTCTCCTTCCATTTATACTCCACGATCCAACAAAATAGACTATCGGTGAAAATGGAAGTTGACATGTAATATTGCTAACTAGAACTTTAGTACTTTAAGATGTACTGTAACGGCTTTCCTAATGGCCGTAAAAATGGACCGCATTAACCCACAATACAGCTGTTTATTAGATGTACATGTAACTGCTTTTCTGGTATAAATGAAACACCTTCCACATAATCTTCACATGTTCCTTCAAGTTTAAAGTTACAAAAAAGTATGCGAACAAAATTAGTTAACAGTACATGTACCTGACAGAGAATCGGATTTCAGCTCAATTCACAGATTTCTTTAATCAAATATTTTTTTAGCAATTTTAAGATACGGGAAAATAACTTTTTTATAAGCTTTTCCAAGAGACATTAATCAATTGATAATAATTTTCATCCATATTATCCTGCTTAATATCCTTATAATCTATTTGTCATTGGTTTAAAGTAGCTGTTATACATGGAAAGAAAATAGTGAGGTTGGAAAATATTATATATATGGTCAAGTTTTAGTACAAGTAGACTAATTCACCTTCCATAGAAAAGTCCATTTGGTAAAATCGATGAATGGAGAAATCTGCGTCTTGCACATATCAGAGGACAGAAAGACATTATACTATGATTTATAATGTCTCTTGAGAGCTGCCTGATGGAGGTAATAAAAAAAACTCTGATAGCTGACACTCTTCAACAAATGAGTTTCCCATAAATTAAAATCAGAATAGACCTGTGATGCAGATATGCTGGAAATGAAATGGGGTTTAACGTCCTACTGTTCTGCCCCGCTGGGATAATGAAGATGAGCATATGCAATACAGTGTGCTATGAGGGAAGTTTTGCCCAGGCAGCGGCACTATGGCCTACACTTATCTCGAATTCCTCCTGCCAAGGGATCTTTTACGTCCACGCCAATGTATACAAGGGAACTCGGTTTTCCGTCTCATCTGAGTAACTAAACAGCTGTCCCTGTCAAGCCCTCCGTCCTGCACCAGTGACATGGGGAAACCATGTCGGAAACAGCTATACTGGGTTTCACATGTCCCCTTTAATTTTGAAAACATAACTTGTCAAGTTATAAAAATATAATGAACAAGACTGATCATTTGAATAGCAGTAGGATGTTAAACGAGCTCAATCGCTAATATTTCGGACCTAGAAATTGACACAAAAGGGTCGCAACGCATATAATAATGTAATATGATTATATATAAACTGATTTACATTCAATCGTTTCCGTTTTTACTCTAATTTCAAATCAGTTATGTTTGGTGAAATACTTGTGAAGTCTCAATTCAATGGCAAATCTCTAGCGTTTGGTTATTCTAGTCTACACCGGTAGTATTTATTGGGCATGCTCTCCAGATAAGAACATGACGTCACCTTTTCGCATGACTTGTGGGCTATGTCTAGCCTCATTCTTTGAGTCGCTTATTACAAATGGCACTGAAACGCATTCTGGTACACGATTTGTGTACCAATGGTAAAATGTTTATTTTGTCTTAAATATTGGATATCAGAAGCCCATCTTTTCCTGGTCAGATCACAACATTAATGTGGATTTAAATTGACAAATAATTTGTGTTTTCAATGAAATGAAATGGGGTTTAACATCCTACTGTTCTGCTCCTAAACTGGGCTAATGAAGACGGGTTGAAGACTGTGGATGATATTGAGTTAAAGACATAGCTACTTTAAATACTGGATAAAAGAAGCCCATCTTTTCACAGTAAGATAACAACATCAATGTTGATTTAGATTGACAAATAATTTGTGTTTTAAATGTTGAAGACTGTGAATGATATTGAGTTAAAGATTTAGCTACTTAAAGCCCATTTTATTTCCCTGCACATATAACATATATATTGTTGAAAATTAAATTACTGGTACGTGTACATGAATAATATTATGATAAAATGTTTTGGGCATAAGTATACTAGAGAAATCAAATTTTTATCCATGTAGTGTATATTACATCCATGTAGTGTATATTACATACATGTAGTGTATATTACATACATGTAGTGTATACATACATGTACTTGGGTAAATTTTTGTTTTGTTAAAGAGAGAGACAGAGAAAAATGGGTTTAATGTCGCCACTTGACACAAACAAGGTCATTTTGGAACTAACATATGGTTCAATTTTATTTCAATGATTCGCTTGTGCATAGGGGTCTTTAGCAGTGGTGGAAACCAGATGACCCAGAGAAAACATGCAAGGTTTAACAGACCACCATAGTCTGTCATGTACAACCGGGGAATCGAAACCACGCCAGTTGACTCAATGACAGACCCTATGATACAACACGCACACCCAACCCCCATTGTTTTGTTAAACAGGGGCGTTAGAAAGTTTACTTTTAAGAGTTTTACTTTTTTCATTGTTTTTAAAGAAAGAAAGAGAGATAGAGAGAGAAATGGGGTTTAACATCCACTCGACACAAACTAGGTCATTTCAGGACTAACATATGGTTTAATTTTATTTCAATAATTCGCTTGCGCGTAGTGGTCTTTAGCAATGGGAGGAAACCGGAGGACCCAGAGAAAACCCATGAGGTTGGACAGGCGACCCTACTCCTTGTCACGTACAACAGGTATTCGAAACCACGCCAGTTGACTCAATGACAGGCCTTATGATACAGCACGCACATGCTAACCATTCGACCATCCAACCCCCCTCATTGTTTTTAAAACATGAATATAAAATGAAATGAAATGGGGTTTAATGTCCTACTTTTCTGCTCCGACTGGGCTAATGAAGACTGGAAAATTTGGCCCAGGCAGCTACCTACTCTTATATCGAATTCCAACTGCCAAGGGATCTTTTACGTGCATGCCAATGTATACACAGGACCTTGGTTTTCCTTCCCACCGAACGACTAGACAGCTGTTCTTGTCAGGCCCTCCATTGGAAATCCAATGATACGTTTGTTGAATATGATTTTAAATAGACCTTTTTTCATTTTAGATCAGCCTTTTGGCACTTTTAACATAGTTTTAAAGTTAAACATTGTCAGAGGGTCAAATTTAAAAAAAACCAAAACAATGGTCAGATACAAATTTCTGGGTGGGCAATCACCAACCAATTGTTTATAAGTGGCCTTATATGGCAGTCTAAATAATGTGTAAACAAAATCCTAGTAGATAATACTAAAATGGATATTGATCTAAATGTATACTGTACTTGTAGGCCTGGATAGTTTTACATATACATGTAAGAACAGGTTAAGTCTGTGGAGCTATGTAATGTCATCAGCAGCTGATTACTTATAGCTACTGTAGGAGTGAAGATACGAAATAACTGTTTCAATGCAATGTCAATACTTCCTTTAGGTCATCAACCTTTTAATTTGTAAAAGCACCAACGGGTAAAAAAATAAATAAAGAGTTTAGGATCATACATAATCAAATAAAAGTAATTTTTTCTTTAAAGATTCTTGTCTAAAAATTATTCAAATCTAACTTAATTTAAGACCATTTACACAGGTTGATTATGATTTCACACCACAATATTTATGTATCTTGCAAGAATAATTCTACAATGTACTATATGTTTTTCACAAGACAGTCCATTAACTTTGTAAAAAAAATTTTATGCCAAGTCTGATAAATTAAAGGGACATATAGGGCTATATTATTTCTTAAGGCCTTATTTTACCTAATCTGGTCCCATCTAGTTTCTATTGAATTTCAAAATCTTTTTTACATTGTTTCAGTCTGCATGACGAATGCATTACTGTATTATCAATTCTGTTTTTTTTTTTAAAGAAAACCAACAAGGCAAAAATATGTTTTCTTTAAATTGTTAAAAGAGAAGTATCAGTATTTGATTAAAGTCTAATTAAGTAAGATTTTTTGGGCGGTGTTGGTGGTTAATTGGTGTGTGTGTGTGTGTGTGTGTGGGGGGGGGGGGTTGAAAAAAAGGAAACAAAACTGATATACATATGTGCAAACTAGTCGACCTTTACAGTAAGAGAATTCTCCCCATCTAAGAATGTAGCATTCAACTTTAGAATGTATTGAAAATCAGACTGTAACTGTAATACAAAAAATCTTTTATAATCTTTCTTCAGGTTATAATTTTTTATTTCATACTATTCCCGGGCCGCCTTAAAAGTATATGTTAAAGTGTTTTAACCAAAAAATATACGATTTAATATTCGTTTAATCAAATAGGCGTTTCAATACTAACGCCGGTAACGGTACAGTCCTGTCTTGTCACAGATGAGCATACCGTTACGCCTTTATAGGCCATACATGTAGCATGCGTTTTCTACACTCCCAACACACGCAGTTTATAAAGTAAAGGTACACTATAAATTAATAAAGTTCCTACAATAAAACAATCAGTTGAAATTAACACTAAAATAGAAGAAAATGCCTTAATTCATAATTACCGTATTTAGCTTGTAGTATACGTCTATTCTGTGACAACCCCACCACACGACACAAAATATCTAAGGTACGGTAATCCATAAAAATTCATGTTGACAGTCGAGTCGCGCAGGTGGTAAAGCAAAAGTCACGTGACATTTTTATCACGTGACCAGTAAAACATGGCTGTCTGCTGGTAATAATATTTGTTTCTAGAAATATAGTATTCTAGTGCGACGTGTCTGTCTATGAGAAAAGCTGATATTTACGACACGCGCAAATAAATTCATTTGATGTAATTTTCATATTATATTTCAGATTCGACACACTCAATTCGAGAAACAGTTATAAGAAAGGCTATTATATTTTGTGAAAAGTCAAGCAACTGCCGAGTGCTGAATAAATGAGTCAATCTATGGTCTGATTTGATTCTGGAGATAATTGGAGCCAGTTATCAAAACAACTTTCATCTTAAAAGACTTAACAAACATCGACATTGTTAAATTTGGAGTGAAAATGTCTAATAGTGATAATTCCGGTGATTTATACAATGTACCATTATCTACAGACAGTGAGTCAGGTTGTGCATAATTTATTAAAATTAGATAGATTAATAATATACGGCACAGTGTATATATATATGAGGTTTATTGTGTTAAATATTATAGGCATTATAAAATAATACACAAAACAACTATGATATAATGAATGTAGTCATACATGAAAGAGCAGCAACTTTGTTGCATTTTGTAATTACATGTATAAGATGGGTTTCCCCCCCAGTAAGATAGCTATTTATTAATAGCTATTTCCATTTTACTAGACAAATGAATTGAAATGAAATGCGATTTGAACTCTGCAGCAACCAGGGTTAATTATAGTGTGCAATGAGGGAGAATTTCTGCCTTCTCTTCATTGAATTCCAATGCCTAGGGTTGTTTATGAAGTGCTATCCAGCACTAGGATCGAAAAAAGGACCTCCTTGTTAGGGAGCCATCACCTTACCAACTGACCCACTCTGACTCCATCACTTTGACTCCATTTTACTACAGCAAATTTTAATTTCATTTGATGCTGAAAAAAATAGTGTTTTCATTCTTTATAAAAAAACTATACAGTTTCTTAATTATATGGTATTTACTACCCGTACCTTATACCCTCGTCCTTTTTTGGAGAAAAAAACTTCAAAGTTTCACACAAAGCAGCCCAAAAATCTGGTGAGCTGCTGTAGGTGAACATTGACCGCGAAAACATTCGCCTTTGTTCTATGTAACAGCTGTTCTGATTGGCTAGCTTGTCAGATCTATCTTTTTTAACTTTTGAAAACAAGTACATGTGGAAGCACCTATAGCGGCTCACAGGTTTTTACACCGCCTATTTCAAAGCTGCTGTAGGTCCTCATTGGGTTCTAACTTCTAAGGGTCATCTCCGGTGAATCAAAATCCATTCTTCAATTAGATATTCCAGCGCATACTTGTATTTTCAACAGTTCAATATAAAATGGCACCTGCCACATTTTGAATAAAACCAACGGAAAGATGTTGTGGTGGGGATGATAAATAAAGTTAACAGATTTTGACAACCATGTGTTGCAATTTACTTTACAGAAGGCGATTTAAAAACTAGACCTACAGATAATTTTCAATAACCATAATAAAGTAGTTCACTACAGTAGTTTGAAAACAGTTTATTTTGTGTTATGGTTATTGACAGTACAGATACAATAAATAAATATTTTGTAATTTTCAGGCGAACTTGCCAAAAATAGCCAGCAAAAACTGATTGATGAAGAAAATAGTAAAAATGACACATACACTGGTAATTCACATAGTAATAGTAAGTACATGTATTGGTTTTGAATCGAGTTGATCTGATTATTAATAGAGAAGCAAAGTTTTCGTCCATATTTGAATGCAGATATCCATCTTGCAAAACAGTAAATTTAATTGAATCAACCCTTTGCTTTTACACTCAAATGAAAGACTCTTGTGACAGCAATATTCCATGATTCATCTTAGTGGGTTAAACTGTAAATAACATAAAACCAACTGAGTTAAAAACAAACCCAGTAAAACACATACTGAACATTAATTCTCCACAATAATTCATTGTGTGGGCATAGATCTTTCAAGCTGGGTTCCCACAAGTGAGACTGACAAGTTTTAGAGTACAGGTTCAATGCGGCAAGACTATTCATTCACTTTGATTCACTCACTCCATTCATTTGACACCTCCCTCTCTGTCGGATAAGCTAGTGATTTGTCAACAGACAGTATCTGGTCAGCTCTATTTATCTCGACGATCAGTGCCTGAAATACTACTACCAGATTGTATTTCCGGCTGTCTATTTTCCAAAATTTATGAGGGAGTCTCCCCATACCCCTAGTTCAAGCTCACACCTTTGCCCCCTTAACTTTGCCCCTCCTACCACCGGCGGTTGGCGCCGCCACTGTTTGCTACCAGGCTTCTAAATGGTTATAGTAGGAAAGTAGGACAACACTAAAATAAATGCTTTATTTTAGGTTTGGATCCAGATATAAATCCTGATGAAGAAGAAGAGAAACAGAAACTCATAACACAAGTTCTAGAATTACAGAATACACTAGATGGTGAGATATCTATCAAAATTATTAGTTCTACTACTTTAAGTACTGGTATTATAAAACTGTGTTTATATTCTCGTAAATTATAGGCCTATTATTGATGGAACTATTTTTCACCAAGAATTATAGTTGTTTTGTGAGTGTATGTTTGCTTGGTATATGGAGCCCCGGTGGCTAGGTGGGTAAGACGCTGACTCGCTAGCCTGGAAGTCGCGTGTTCGATCCCTGCATTGGCCGAGAAAGTTCATCGGGATTTACCGGGGGGGTTTCCCCTTGTCAGTGGTGCAGGACGGAGGGTCTGAAAAGGACAGCTGTCCAGTCGTTCAGATGGGATGGAAAACCAAGGTCTTGTGTATACATGTCCCTTGACAGTTGGAATTCGGTATAAGAGTAGGCCATAGTGCCGCTGCCTGGGCAAAATTTCCCTCATAGCACACTGTATGGCGTATGCCCGTCTTCATTAGCCCAGTCGGAGCAGTACAGTAGGACGTGAAACCCCATTTCATTTCATTTCGTTTGCTTGGTAAACTTTAAAATATTTATATTATTTGTAGATTTGTCATCAAGAGTGGATTCCGTTAAAGAAGAGAATCTCAAACTGAAATCAGAAAATCAAGTATTAGGCCAGTATATAGAGAATTTGATGGCAGCAAGCAGTGTATTTCAATCAACATCTCCTAAAACCAAGAAAAAATAAAACCAGTCGTGGTTAGAAGAAAATAAACTTATGTGCAATCAACAAATAAAGTAAGCATAGAGAAGACTCAGATTTCAAATTAGTGAGAAATAATTTTCTTTAATGTCATTTCAACTGAAAACATCTGATCAAACCCAGCTCTTGACACAGTTTCATTCTTGTACAACTTGTGTTTCAACAGAAATGTTGCATTCCCTGACAAATATAAAGCTAGCTTGGACCTGCATTCGCTATCACCCCAAGAATATTGCAGATGAGAACCGTTTCCTTTGGCGTTTATGGTTCCTGAACAAATTCAACAACATCGCCAATAGAAACATCTAGTCATGTGAAATGTTTATTTGTAAAATTGAAAGCCAGTCCACTTCAGATTTTAGATCCATTTAACCGGTTATCCAAAAGGAAAACTCAGACTTGACGGAAAGTCGCAGAACGCTTAATATAGATAGGGTTCATTCTCTCATGACCCCAGTGCTGAACATCAAATTTGAAAAAATTCTGTTAAAAACTGGGGGATAACTATTTAACGGAAAGTCACAGAAGGCTGAACATCGATAGGGTGCGTTCCCCTCATAACTCAAATGCTTTAGACCAAATTTGAAAGAAATCTGTCAAAAAAACCTGTAGCCTCTATCGCGTTAACAAGATTCTCAGGAAATGGGGGATAACTCCTGAATGGAAAGTCACAGATTGTTGATTATGGATAGGGTTCATTCTCTCATGACCACATATACATGAATGAAATTCGTGAAAAACTATAGCCTCTATCGCGATTACACGGTTTTTGGCAAAGGAGGGATAACTCCAGAATGGAAAGTCGTAGAAGGTTGAATAGCAATAGAGTTCATCCTTTCATGACCCCAATGCTTACCATCAAATTTGACAAAAATCCATTAAAATTATAGCCGCTATCGCGTTGACAAGATTATCGATAAAGGGGGCGGCGGCAGTAACTCCGGAATGAAAAGTCGCAGAATGCTGAAAATCAATAGATTTCATCCATTCATGACCCCAATGGTTCCCCCCAAATTTGAAACTACAGCCTCTTTTGTTTTCACAAGGTTTTGGGCTGAGTGGAGATTTGATTGGAAAGTTATAGAATGCTTTATAACGATACAGTCAATCTCACATGATCACAATGCTTTACCCCAAATTTGAAAAGAAATGTTGAAAACTATAGCCTATGAAGCAGTTGACTGAAGAAAACTGCTAAAAAACTTATCAGTGAGGTCTGTGTAAGTCATCCTCGGTATCCCCAGTGGTATCGTTCTGTTCTACTCCACTAACCCCTGAGTCTATTCACGTGGGAGTGGGAGACACCTAGTCAAATTATCCACCCTTGATACTTGTGCTATTTTTATTGACAACAAGAGGGCAAAGGGAAGTAACTCACATTTTACTGCAACTAAGATAGCCAAATCAGTGTGGCGAACATAAACAATGACACTGAGGCTGGTATGTCAACTTGATATATATATATATATATATATTTAGTTGTTTGTTTGACATAGATCAATTTTGGGTGGGTTTGTTTTGTTTTTTTGATAATTAAAAAAAAGAAATTTATTTTTTTTTTTCCAGAAAAAAGAAGTGGAAACAAACAAAAGAATACTTGTATGTTAAAATAATTTTGTGGGCATATTGTCTTTGTTCATATTTATTTGTCTTGTGCATTTAAATTTATATTAAATATAACATCAGTGATCTGTTTCTCATGTACCATTTTAGTAAATTAAGTTTGTATGTCATCTATATACTTTAATAGTTTTAACAGATATATTACAATCTTTTGAATTTTCAGATTACTGTTAATTATATTGTAATATCAAGGTACAGTTATATAGAATAACATTGTGAAATCCAGATATACCGATGTACATATTATATTTAAATTTGTCCAATTTTCACAAGACATTACTTTGCATTAGTATATTGCTTTAAATATTTCCTGAAGTTTATTCCTACAGAAAAAATTACAGAGCTATTTATTTGTAATTAAAAAAGGACGTTTTTCTGTTAATTTAAATGGAATGGGATGTAGCCACTTGTCACTTCAAGATTAAAATGTTATATGTGCAATATGAAGTGGGTTTGTTTATTTAAAATTCTATCTACAGAAATGACTGATTGATACTCAATTTTCCAATCGTGTTTTAAAACCTTTTATCAAATTGTTCTTTAAAGGCTTGATGCATCATTTAGCCACTGTAGGAATCTCTTGTAAACTACAATATTGTAAAAGATGAATCTCTAAAGGGAATATAGGTCCAAAAATGTTTCAATTCTATTCAGTATTTACAAAGTTTCCCACACAATAGTGGGCCTGTTTTAAATCCAATTTAATCCAAGAAACAATATTTAGCTGGGTTTGGTATTTTGATTTTGTTTTCTTAATTAAATGTGAAATAATCGAGTACATACTTACGTAAATTAAGCCGTGAGAAATTAGATTTTTTAAGCAAAAATGCAAATGATGCATCAAGCATTTAAGAAATTGTTAATAAGTAGTAATAAATATTTCAAATCAAAAAGCATGATTATTTGATCATGTAAATATGTTATTGTAAGAATTTTATTTAGTTGTACAACATAATTCTTGTTTTTATAATTGTTAAATTACTTTAAAATTGTAATGGGCTTTTTTATACACACAAATAATTTATGTGAACATGTATTGTCACCACCTGGATCTGTGAGAGAGAAATGAAACCTTGATCTGTGCTTGTGAAGAGATCTCAATAGATGGAACTCTTTGAAATTTGATAAAATTATTCTATGGGCATAGCCAGCACATACAACTCTGCTATTCATGTATTATAAGGCAACCTGATAAACCCCAATTTGTGTTCTAAATGAATGATATTATAACTTGCTCTTATAGAAGTTATAAAGTATGATTCTGTAATTAAAGCAAGATTTGTATGTAGCATATTGTTATTGGTTTGTGGTGAACTAAATCAAATCGTTATTTCTTGGCCAACTATTAAAACTTTTTTTTCAAATCCTTCATACTATGCTGGTGTACTGCATGAATGATAAACGTAATGTATTGAATTATTATGTATTGATGTATTGATGCATACATTTATTCCTTGTATCTTAGAAGAAATATATTGCTGTAGACCACAAACGTCTATTAAATCGTGCTATTGACTTTCACCAGTTAAAATAAAATATTATCCGAACTTTTTGTCTGTTTCATATACAGGAACATTTAGTTTGATATCTCAGAAAAATACTTAGAAGGTCCTGTGTGGACGTTAAAAAACCCTGGAGAGTTGAAATTCAAAATAATAGTAAAATGTAGAGCCACTGTCTGGTACTAAATTAAGCTATTCAGACAATGATCAGAATACTGTTGAATATCCCAACCAAGACCGTAGTTTTAGCAAAGAAAGTGAGTATACTTTGAGGGATATGTGGCATGTAATGAAGTTGAAGAATCTGCCAAAGTAATCACGGGGGTTTGAGGTCAACTTGGATAATAAGCCAAGGCTAAGTTTTATGACCAAGTCTATTAGGTTCATATTCATATAAGCAAGATGATCAAATTCAGGGGACAAATAGTTCATCTGAAACGGCATCTACCGTAAATCAGCCAAAAATTACAAGGTATTTAATTTTCTCCAATATCGACTAGGATTATGGTACTTTCCAACAAGCCAACAGACAACGCATATTTCTCGTCGTAAAGCATCGAGCAATTAAACTTAGCCTAGGCAAAAAATGACCATTATTCAAGGTACTGATGCAATGAAACTATATTGCGAGTCATCAATCTCACGATGAGACCCAATTAGAATGAAAGTTACCGTATTCCTAAATCTCAACCAATAAAATTGTTTACCACCGCTAAGCTTTTGCAGAAAAGGTTCATCATCGAACTCAGTCAACTCATTTACCAAATAAACACCTAAACCAAGTTTGAACATTCTACCCGAATAGGATCGTTATTATGTTTCAAAGACTCGAGCAATTAAATTTTAAGCCTAAGCAGAAAACGTTCATCTTCAATTCGGTCAAGGTATCTACCAAAAAAACACACACATACACCAAGTTTGAATATTGTACCCCATCTAGAAGGAGAGTTATTGTATTTCAAATTCTCGACCAACGAAGCAGAAAATGTTTATCTTCGAAATCAATGAAGGCATTTTACAAGACCAACGACTGCGAGTTGCACAATATCTGGCCGTTGCTTGTTTACTTCACAATTCCCGAACAAATAGCTATGTTATCTACAGACATTGAATGAACCTTGAACTTTGCAACTCGATTATCAAAGGTAGACATTTTAGCTTGAAAGCACAAGACTTGGTATTCGCGACGATCGAGGAATCTGATAGGCTCACAAGTTGGGCTTGTACCCAATCGAAATTAGTGCCGCAATTTGCAGGGTATTACGTGAAAGCCTTGATAAGATGTACGTAGTTAAAGCGAGATCAAGCCTTCTATTGAAGATGAATACTCACTAATTTGATCCCCCCTCGCCCTTTCTCTGTAAAAAGATAAATAATTGCTTCTTTGGCTAAACCCAAGACATTTCATCACGTCCTATTTTTGTGGTGAAAATGCTGGTTAGAAAATCAAGTTAGATCTTTCTGTCCATTTTATTGGATCTGAGCAGTGGATATAATAATTACAATAAAGAAATACATCATAGCTTACTTGTAAATAATCTATATACAACTTGGCTATAACAATGACACATTAAATGCTGCACATCTCACTAACAACCAATACATTTTTTATAAGTTCTCTCCATTCCAACATTGATTTAAAAAAAACCACTTTATCATTTACTAATATAGACATTAGCATAGTGTTACCAAAGATAGACCTACCCCATTTAAAACATGTGCATACTTGAGAATTCAGTTTGAACTATAATTCGATAAAAATTTTCATTTACAGTCTACACCCAAGAAATATGAGATAACTAAGCACTTTATCAGATCCAAGATAAAAGAGGCCTTAAGTGTGATTGTCAAAAATCTGAATCTAAAATGGATTTTCTTTTCAGGTACATATAAATTTTACAAATATGGATTTGTTTTCACCCTTGTTAATAATTTGTGAAAAATATCATTTTTGCAAATTCATGTACATGTATCTCTGGATTTTGATTTGAAAATCTTTAAGAAACAAACTGAATGGGTTTAGAATCTTCAAAAACAGAAGATTCAGAGGCAAAGCAATCAGACAGGTCTATACTAATGTCCAAATCAAAATACTGTACCGGTATATCGTAAACAAATAAATTGGATAATGGAAATCGGCCGAATACAAAAATTGAATGTTAAAGCTTAATTGAAGCCAGTTCCAGTTTTAATTTTAATTGAAGCCAGTTCCAGTTTTAATTTCCATATATATCTTTTTTTGACATGGAGTATGTTTTGCTTTTTATTCAGTAGCATCTCAAAGTCTTGGTATCTTTTCTTTTGAACCAAGTTCCAATGTATGGAGACGTAAAGCTACATTCCAATTTCAAACATTTGGATAGATATGATACAATCAACTCTCAAATTGTTCAGAAATAACAGAAATATATCTTAAATCCTGCAAGCTGACTTGAGCAATAACTAGTGACCAGCAATATCGGTGAATAAATACATACAAGATTTTCAAGGTAAAACTTGGGCACATGATAAACTAAAATACATTTAATAATGGGAAATGCCCGATTGTGAATTCAGAACATTCTGAATAGACAGAATTGCAATTAAGTGACATGAACCAAGTAAGTTCTATCAGTCCCATTAAGTGATGTGGTGTGAGTAGAATCGAGATGTAATCAGATTCAGTTATCATTCTTCTTTAAATTATTATATATGTAAATTAAAAACTAGTTTACAAATTGCTTAAAATCAAAACAAATAGTAAAATTCTTCACAGATACAATGTTAAAAACCATTCACATGATTAAATAAAGAGAATAAGGAATAACTGTTTTTGTCTGGTAATGAAATACATGAATTCACTGAGCTCCATATAATTCAACATTAAAGGTTAAGGTTTTATATTTATAAATGGATAAGAATTAAATAAGCTTCAATTCTTTAAATGACATCTAGAAGCAGGGTTTAACTATTCATAATGAAACACAACACAAGGTATATATGGATATAACTACTTCTCTATTATTTAATAACAAAGTTTCGTAACACATACTTGAAAACGTGACCTGTATGTGTTACGAAACGTCGTTATTAAATAATAGAGAAGTAGTTATGTCCATACCTTGTGTTGTTTTTGTTATGAATTAATTAAGCTTGTTTGTTTGAATAACATTGTAGCACTTCCATACAATAATCACACCGATAACAATGCAAAGGAAAGATTAATTTTCAGGATTTTAAAATCTTCTACGCTGTATTTCTTAAAATAAATGGAAAAATATCTAAAATATAGATGTATAACCATAATTTATATGTCTAGGAAATATAATACTAATAAATCACATCATGCATTAAAATTTGTAGCCTTGATGAAAGTATTACTAAGTTTTAATCTAGAATTAGAACGGGTAGATGTGGTACTACTTTCCCTTGAATTCTCATCATTATCTATTTGTCGACTGCGTGTAACACGTCTAGGAGTTGATGTTCCTGTATCTTGTTCATTATGTGAAGAATCACTAGATAAAGGAGATTGAGATCTATACGCTCTAGCATTATTCACCGTGTTTTTTAAACTTTTCTTTAGAGATAAACAGTTTGGAGATATTAACATGGGTATGGCACTATAATTATCACTAGCAATTACATTACACATTGTATTTGGATTAAACAAATTTTTCTTTGCGCTGTCATTAGTTTCATAATTAGATTCAATTCTACGTCGGAAACTCCGTGTTTCGGGTGAGCTTTGCTGCGAATCTTCATCTATCTGGTTATGGGGATCAGGTTTCACTTGTAAAGGACTATTTTGTCTTGTTCTTCCAAGAGAGGTTTTTGAACCACTCAAACTGCCTTTAGGTTTCGAAGACAAACCGTGAGTATCGGCCTCACAAGCTTTCTTTACAGGAGTTACGTTATTTAAACCATGCCGAGAGTTATAGCGTAATCGTGTACTAGCACTAGAACCATTTTGTACAAAGAAAGCTTCAATCTTTGGCTGCATCTTATCTGTTAATCCATTTAATCGCTTTAATTTACCCCTTGTTTTCAGAATTCTACTTTGCACTTTGTCTTTGATAGATTCATCTATGCGTAAGTTTGGTTTGGATAATAAACCATACAGTTCATTTTTCACCTTAAATGACTGTTTCTTCGACATATGAGTTGAGATTTTATTTTTAGAAGTTGTGTTCTTATCTTTAGAACTTGAACTTTTATCTTTTAAAGTTGAATTTGTGTTTTTATCTTTAGAACTGGAACTTTTATCTTTAAAAGTTGAATTTGAGTTTTTATCTTTAGAAGTTGAATTTGTGATTTTATCTTTAGAAGTTGAATTTGTGATTTTATCTTTAGAAGTTGAATTTGTGTTTTTATCTTTAGAAGCTGAATTTGAGTTTTTATCTTTAGAATTTGGGACTTTCTCTTTCGAGGTTGAATTTGTGTTTTTATCTTTAGAATTGTCGACTGAAGTTAAATTTGTGTTTTTGTCTCTAGAAGGTGAATTTGGGACCTGATCTTTAGAATTTGTATTTTTATCTTTAATTGATATTTGGCAATCACTGTCTTTTTCTATATTATCTACACTGACTACTTTCACTTTACACACAGTATCTTTAGTTTTACTATTTCTCAATTCTTTACCTTCTTCGACACTATTAGCTTTAGAGTCTTCTTCACTGCATGTTTTCTTCTTAAGAGATTTTTCAAAAGATTTAGCACTTATAACTGCAGTATTATTGTCTACTTTTGTTTTATCAATAACAACACTTGATTTAAAAACTATCTCTTCATCTTTAATAGGAGACTTCTTGTCTTTTGATCGTAAAAATTTAGTCTTTGTTTTCTTGTAGGATTTTGATAGATTATCACGACCAGGTCTGTTCAATTCAGGTTTTAAATCAGGCATTGGCTTTTTACTTTTTGAATCTTCACCTGCATCATTATCACCCTTAACGAGCGTTCCTTTAGCAAAGTCACGTCTACGGGTTCCGATATCTTCCATTTCAAGAACAGGTGGTTCATCAGCTTCTACATCTCCATCATTATCAGAAAACTCGGTTTTAACTGACACTGATGGAATAGGATCTGTATCTAATTTCTCAAGACCAGATGGTATTCGTAAGGCTAAACGTTTAGAATAAATAGGACCACTATGTTCACTGCGTTCATCATCTGTTGTCATAGATTCAAGATCAGAACAAGCCGTTAATGTAGGTGGCAAATTAGGTAATGGGTTTATATTTTGGGCTAGGTACACATTAAAATCTTTATATTTCTTCACTGTTTTCTGAATTTCTTTTCCAGACAATTTTAATTTAGAGTCAGTCAAATAAATATTAGCTGCCATAAACACTTTTTCTTGAATTTTCAAAAACTGCCGTTTCATCTTTTCTCTCCTGTTAACCATATAACAAAGATTTCTCACCTGTAATTAAATAAAAAAATAAATTCTACAGGGTACACAAGCTAAAAACGCAATTTTTCGTACAATCAGGGGCCATAATTCAGGAAGTTAAAGTCCGATATGCACGAATATCGAAAGGAACCGAGATCTTTGGGTTATAAACTTACATTTCAAGTTGCAACAAAATCGAATAAAAATTGTGACCTCTATAGGGTCCACAACCTTGATATACCATATTTTTAGTATTTTTACGCCATTTTGTCTGTCAATTTTTGGCCGATTTTCACGAAATTCGAACTCAGTCGTCCTTAGGGTGTAACGGTGATATCATAATACGTTTTTTTAAATCGGATAAAAATTATGACTTCTATAGGGTCCACAAGCTAAAAACGCGATTTTTCGTACAAACAGGGGCCATAATTCAGGAAGTTACAGTCCGATATGCGCGAATATCGAAAGGAACTGAGATCTTTGGGTTATAAACTTACATTTCAAGTTTCAACAAAATCGGATAAAAATTGTGATTTCTATAGGGTCCACAAGCTAAAAACGTGATTTTTTGTACAAACAGGGGCCATAATCCATGAAGTTTCGATCCGATACATGCCAATATCGAAAGCAGCCGAGATTTTTTGGGGATAAAGCTATATTTCAAGTTTCGTCAAAATCGGACAAGAATTGTGACCTGTAGAGAGTCCACAAACAAATTGTGGACGGACGGACGTCCGGACGGACAGGGGTGACGACAATATACGTCCACATGAAAATGTGGGCATATAAAAACAAAATATAAGAGGAAACTTTTTGAAATGAAAATGTCTCAAAGGAAGGAAGATACAGATATGTTGATATTTCTAATCTAAAAGAAATAATGTGCTATTTAGGGATGGCCATATGTCATGGCGCTAGTTATGAAGGAAATTTTGTCCCCACAATGCCAATTCTGCTTACTTTCTGCGAATTCCAGGGGTTCTTTTACATGCACAACATTGTGTAGACAGGACTTGGTCTTTTGCCTGATTTGAAGAACAGGTCCTCTGTCCGTCCTGAACCACTGACAAGTGGAAAGTAGGTTGGAAAATCATCAGAAAATTCTCGGCCAACACCTGAATCGACCCCAGGACCTCCTAGTCACTGAGTCTGCATCTTCAACGAGCCAACAATAATGAAAAGAAATGAATAAAATAACAAACCCGTTCTAAATCTTGTCGTAAATGAACAAACATCTTCATTCGAGCAACCAAGCTATCTTCTTGTTGTTTCTCCAATCTGTCAGCCTCTTCAGTTTTTGGCATTAATAATGGCCGATTGAAGTTAGCCTGGAAAATGAAGAATATAATAGAATACATTATTAAACTGTCTCTAATTGTCCCGAAAGGAATAACAGAATTTGATAAAGCATATCATTAATGTTTTACGAGGGCTGACTGTAAAGTTCTAAGCCTATAGATCTGTGAAAGACCTGTACAAAGTCGATGGTGTCCATTTATTTTACTACTTAGTCCCCTTCAAGATGTACACACTTTTGCCAATAATGTTGCAAGGCCTGGATGCCGGTCAAGAAGAAATTTTCTTCAGCCACCCTACAATAGAAGTCATTCACAGCTGACATAACGTCATTATTACTAGGAAAATGACATTCGGCTAGTTCCTTTTTCATTTTTGGAAACAGGTCTCATCCATGGTTACAAATCTGGACAAAAAAATGTTAGGATCTGCTTCAAAATGGCGCAGATTGTCACAGGACGTCAGGAATCTGACACCTTTCTGATTTGTAATCAAGAGCTTTGGCACCCATCTTGCAGAAAATCATTGACGATAATGTGCTCAACCCTCTCGAGACATGCCCACAACACTGGCAATATGTCAAGTGGAGAACTGTTGATCAGCCATTATCATATCATGCAGCCAGGTAATGTTTTCTTTAATGTTTGCTGTTGATGGCCTCTCTCTACGCTTAAATTCCGTAGCCCACTTCTTTACAATGGAAAAGCAAGGGGCGTCATCCCCTAAAGTGGAGACAATGTCGGCTTGTATCTGTATTTGGGTTAGTCCTTTCAGTTGCAGGCACTTGATGACTGCAGCACTATAGTCAGTTTCGTCCATTCCTGGTGATTTCAATGGGTAGGTTCACAAGATGGTCTGACACGAAGTCAATAATAACACTACAGCTGCAGTTTTTATGTTTATGATTCATTCAATGATTGTACTTCTTGGTGGCAAAAGTTTGATTAAAGCCAACTAATGTATCCCTTTTCAGGCTTAGAACTTTTCAGCCAGCTCTCGTATGTACATGTAGGTCAATTAAAGATGAAGTCATTTTAATAATCGTAGTTATTAACAAAATAATTGGAAAAGATAGTTAGGCTAGAAATGAAGAGAAAAATTTTACCCTTCTTTTTAATTTCCAGTATACTGTGACCACATCAGCAATATCAACATCAATTTGTAGTGTATTAGCTGCTTCTGTTACATCAACAAACCCACTAAAATCATCCTCTATTTCCTTCAATCTATATATAAATAAATAATCATAAATTCCACGAAAACTTACAATCAAGGTAATGCAATTTGATTCACTTACTATTCTTGCAACTCAACATAATTTAGTTTAAATGTTTTATTTTCATGTTCTCTATACCTGATGACAGAGTTGAGGGCATTTAATTCACTACTACTATGAGATAATCATTAAATCACTGGGATGTTGCATAATGCATTCAGTACTTGTGTATCCATAAAATATACCTTGAGTTAATTACTAAGTTCTTTAAGCCAAATTTTAACTATGAAAACGACGGATTGTACATATTATTGACATCCAAAAGACTGACCAAGTATGCAAATCTACATTTAAGTGCCATCAAAGAATAGAGAATTTAGGATAGGGGAATTGTATAAAAGTGTTTTAGTTTGATATATAAAAAAAGACCAGTGTATCCTTTTGTTGTATCTAATCAAAGTTCTTACTTTTTGGCACGAATGTTAGCAATTTCTTCTTTAGTCAAGTCCTTTCTTGGGGAAGAACCATCTTTACGTGGAGATTTTGGAGAGCGAGGTGATCGAGGAGATTTGGGTGAAGATGGTGAATCACAACCAGACTCTCCACCATTTTGAGTATGTTTTGGACAAAATGCCTGAAAATAAAATACAGAATGATACTTTTAACACATAGAAAGATAAATTCAAACTAATATTTATTTTTTACTTGTTAACACCTACCATAATCTAAAATATACAAATAATAATTACATTCTTATTATATTAGGCAACACAAATAAAATAAGTTGTTTCTGGGGCACCGTCTGCACACAAAATTGGTTGCATTACTCGCATGCAGTATTTTTATTGGTCTTAATGAAAAAAAGCTATATAAAAACCCCGCCCAAATCATCGATACGCAATTTATAAAAGAAATATGCATCATACATGTATATCTATTCAAGTGTATTAAATTGATTCAGAACATAAAAACTCATTTAAGGGTCTTTATTATCGATATCAAAAGATATTTGAATCATTTGATCTTAATTGGCTCATAATTGTTGGCTTCAGTCACTCGATGTTTGAAAAAGCCAAAGTCAGTGTTCAGAGTAGACTTGATGTTGGGGGTTTATGCTCTAAGTAGATACAATAAATGAAAGCAAAACCGTAGACAAGTGATGACTTTCTGCACTGTTCTCATAAAAAAAAACAGACCTCCCTCCCACCCGTACGATTTTCAGCAATAGCCAAATTTTATTTTGCACCATCCTCTAGCGAGCAATGAGGTTATAAAAAAAAAAAAACAGGAGCCACTCTCCCCTCCTACATTTTCACCTGTCAGTTGCCGTTACTTACCCTCAGTTTAACGCCATCTTTTTCAGCAGGATCCAAGATTGTCTTCATATCCATACCATGATTAAAACCACAAGTTACGTGAAATGCTGTTTTACAAGTACGTACAGAACACTGTATACAAGCTCCAGATCTTTCTTTACATAAACAACAAACTAAAGCCCAACGACTAGCCTACAAATATATGGAATACATTCTTTTATTTACAAGAAGTTAATAAATCAAAGCAAAACTGTGCAAGGATTATACCCTACAAGTCACAAATTAACAAAGTAATAGATTGAGTTGAAAAATGATATTTAATTCAATGGATAATAGATAAGGATCCACTATGACATTGTTTTATATATAAGTCAGTCCTGCAAGTGAATTCAAGAATAGATATATACAAATCGTCGACAAAACTTACTGGAATTAAAGAAATTTTTGTGATAGGTTCCATTTTTTCAACACAACCAATGCTAACTTCAGGAATCCATAGAGAACAACTGACATGAGCCCATTTAGTACCACTCCTACAAATACAGAAATAATATAAAAATTCTTAAGTATTCAACTCTTGCTACTGCTGTTTAATTGAGAAAATATATAGCACTCAACACTGAATTAAATTTCCTCTGAAAACCACCAATGAATAAAGGTATAAGTAATACAATAAATGTGTAATGGGTACAAATTGTTTCCAATAATATTTCTTTCAGCTGTATTATGTAAGAGTTAAATCTGCTTACTGCAGGTCTTTCTTCTTTTGGCTATATCTTATATACATTATTATTTAGAAATTTATTCACATGCCAAGCCCATAATCTACTCTCTAGACCATCAGACAGCCGAGATTTAAATGGATTTGAACACAATCGAGATTTACCAATTTAAGATAAATGGATAATCAAGACTTAAGCCTTGGTTGTCGAGGATCATTCCTACAATAATAAACGATCGACACCCCATCTGCAAACAGTCATAACTTGTGCCCAGAATAAAGTAATTTGAATGAAATTTTCAATAAATTAATTGTGCATCATCTATTTTTGAGCTCTTTATCTAAATCTTACATAATGCTACTTTAACAATACTTAAAAAACATTACCTGGTACTTTTCATGGCCCCTTTTAGATTAGGACAAAGTAAACAAGTAGGTTTAACACCAAGAGCACATGCACGACATAAATAACTTCCTTCAGGTATAGTCTGTATACCATAACATGCCTACAAAATATATATTATATATACAGAACATTCTATGTTACCATTGGTTACCACTAGTACAGAAATGTGTTTTACTAACAGGTACTGGTTTCATACACATGGTTATGGTGATTACAACACAGATCATGTTTCGTTTCATTTTTTCTTTAGAGTTCAAAATTTCTTTTCCCTTGTCTTTACAAGTCTGACTGCGAATAAACCCAATCGGATATTAAGATATGGTTAATTCTATTTTAGATTTACGAGCCACTTGAACTACAGTGTAAATAATGAAATATATTTTCTTTGAATTATCAGTTTTATTCTATTCATTTGTGATTATATTCTAGAACACAGTAGATTTATTTTTAGTCTATCAAGTTTTCAAATCCAAACATGGGTTCAAAACAACTTAGACTTGTGCACAGTTTTCGAACTAATATCTTTCATTTTGACTTAATTTGTTGGATTTTTAAATTGCAATATGTCAATGTTTGCTAACACCAATTAACTTTGTGGATTACAATTCTAGAAAGTCAACTTAACAACAAAATACAAAAAGAGGGCCTTATCTCTTAAAAAAAAAAAAAGGTTGAAAATAGAGCTGAGCGTGCGTGATAGCTAAACTTTGAAATACAGGATTACAAGAATTATAGGAATTTGTTTTTTACCTGATGCACACAAATATCACAGTTATCACAAAATACCATTTCATTACCATCTTCACTATCAGGCTATAACAAAACAAATCATATTTACTTTACATTATAGTCTACCAACATTAATAACAGAAATCTTTAGTATTATGAAATTTTTTATATTCAAATACCATCAGATAACAAAGGTTACTGGTTTCAACAGTTTCCCCTCAGGCCAGTCTTTAGGTTTTTTCAGAAATATCATCCACCATTCTTTAAATTTCTGACCACTGTTAACGGATGAATTGCCGTGCTTACAGATAATGACATCGCTTAAGTTGTCCATGACCTCTTCTTCCTGGGATAATTATCATATTTTTTTGTCTTTTATTAATGTTCAGATTGCAGGAAAAGGTTGTATTTTAATGACACCACTCATAGCATCCCCTTGCTGTGCTCAGTCATTAATAACTTGGTGTACCCTGGCTGTGTTCAGTCATTAATCACCTGCTTCTCTCATTCAAATAACAACTGGAAAGCCATTCATGATCAAAATGGCAAACATTAATTAAAAGTGAGCAACTTACTACCGAGATCAAATAAAAATCTTTGTTAGAGTTGTCTCCCTTGGGTTACTTAACTTTTCAAATTTTGTCCACTATCAGTTCCTAGCAGTAATTAAACGTTTCTACTTTCCCCAAAATTTCCTTTACATAATAAGATTCACAAGAAGTTAACCTTTTCAAGGACTTTGACCATAATTCAAAGGATCACAAACCATTTCCAAAGAATTCAGGGACTCAACCCTTGTTAAAGGACTCTCTCAAGGGATGAACTATGATTTAAGGTTTTTCAAGGACTTGTGCAAACATTTATACAACCTTATAGTGAATAAGTTTAAATAAAGAAGATTATCTCTTTTAGTATGTGATAATAACGTTATGATATACGGGAGATTATTTGTTGAATTATTAATATAAAACTTACAGAACGACAAACATCACATACAACATCTTCATCATATTCTATACCTAATCCTTCTTCACTCTTTATTATAGTATTCATACTCTTATGGCACTAAAACACAAATAAATTACATCAATATTAATGTGTTCACAATAACACCCTAAAGGCCTGTTTATACCTTTGATTATAGTATTCATACTATTCCGGCACTAAAACACAAACGAATTACATCAATATTAATGTGTTTCCAATAACATCCTAAAGGCCTGTTTATACCGTTGCTTATTCTTAGATCTTCTCTCACCATTGTGCCATGAATAATCATTTATCTGTAGTAAATTATACTGCCTGACAGATTTGTGTCAAAAATAATCTTAAGTTGATCATAAAAGTTTTAAAATAAAATATAAATTCATCAACGTGTGCTAATGGTCGACAATGCACAACTGAAAATGGTCTGGGTTGCTAAATCTATTTCTAAGCGCACAATTTTAAACTGGAGATTGTTGGTTACTTGAATTGTACATACTTCCTGGCATTAGAATCACAAAATTATACTTGCCTGATTTTCTAGTTCTTCCATTATTCTTTCCATTGTCCATTCATGTATTAATGGTAAACCTGAAAATCAATTATACAAAAAAATTCTAAAACATTCTGTTTACTAAATTCTAAAGTTAGGCAATTGGATGCAAATCAGTTTTTCATATTCCACATCTGAAGTTTTATCACTGTGTCATGCTTTTAGCTGTGTGCTGTAAAAAGCCAAATGAAAACGCAGCTCTGCTCATCATGCCCAGACACCGTCCATTGATCTATGTAAATATAAACCCACTGATGTCCCTTAACAAAGATTCCATTATCAGCCTTCAGATGCTCTTACGCAGCGTAGTAAATCAGAAACATAAAACCAAACGAAATAAATTAGATTGGAGATTGATAAATTCAAGAGAAGAAACATGAGACAAAAGAATGTACGAAACAATTAGGCTCCAGTTTGCTTTAAATCACTTGATCAAAAAATGTTATTTTTTTTCTTCAGTGTGACAGCAATATAGTAAATTGTGAATAATGTTATACTGTTATTTTTAGGTAGACCTACATGTACATCACATCTAACTGACCACTTACTTAGTTCCTCACGTTCATCATTAACAGTTTCCAACCAACATACATCCAAGTCATCTAAATCATATCGTACTACCATTTCTGAAAGTTGGTTCATTCCTGTCAATTCATGACATCCCTGACGATAGCTCTCATCTTGTACAGCATGTAGAAATTTTCTAGGTCTAAAATACATAAATATACCATTATTGAACAGCTTAACAAAGTAACAATAATATAATCCAATCAATTCATTCCTCTTCAAAAATCTTACAAGTACCAAGTATTAACTAGTATAGTATAAATACGACAAACAGTACAGACGAATACATGAAATACACCAATCTATACTCACATTTTAAAATCACCATTTTTGCATTTTTCTCTTATTTCTCTGAAAAAATAAGAGATGAAGAAGATATTCAATAAAATTGGTATAATTAGTACAATATGCCATTTTCCCCTCGCATAAATTATTTCCTAATGTTATATCACCCACAGGGCTTAAATCAACCTAACAGGTTACCACACAGGTTTCCTGAAAATGATTTATGGTAACCCATCAAGTTTTCTGCTATGTATGTATTATTAATGACAATGTCTATAGTAACCTGTAGAAATTGAGGAGTAAAAGATCAGAATTCAATAAAATTGAGAAATGAAGTCTTTTTTTCTTTGTTTTGTTTAAATTTATATAATATTAAATATGAACATAACTTTGTACAACAAACAGAATATGAATGAATACTTTTGCCCACGTATGTAGTTAACCCTGTCAACCTATGAAAGCAACGATTCAGAACTTTGACCCTTCACATCGCTTCTTGTCATATTTCAGTGTAGCGTGTACTACATATCTTACAGGTAAGTTATGTCAGTTTATTAGAGACTTTTGGCAAGTGGAATTTTTCCCATCCGTATAACGTATTCGTATCGTCACCTGATACGTTGTGTTAATTTAGTTTTAGAGTTTTGGTAGATTTTCGCGCCGCGTACGTATGGGTAGCTGAGCTGAGCGTAGTTCTATTACAGCATAATGGCAGTTATCTACCAAGATCAACATCAGTACTAATCAAGTACCTAGCCTACAAATTCCTGAAGGGAGTGAAGTCGTCTTTGCCATGGTTAAAATCACTTCAAATATACACCTTCGTGTTCTAGGATATACATATATTCATAAAAACGCTACGGTACAACATTTCAGCGTCTAAAAGTAGCAAAACATACGGTAAAAAGACGACGATGTTATACGGACCTTTTCCGTATGAAAGCTGTTCGATACGTGCTGCCGTATCCGTGTGCCGTATCACGTATGAGAAATACACACGCATTGAGGACGTCACACGCAAAATCGTTACGGATATGCGATGCGGACCAGGAATTTACGTTTGCCAAAAGTCTCTAATATCATCGCCCAAGTCGTCCAAGAAGTCATCATTGATGTCCCACGACAAAGGTCTTCAATACAACTGTCTCACAACTGCCTTTTTTAAAACGAACAAAATCGAGGCTGTGCAGTTGACAAGGGAATAAAATTGAGACACCAAGTATCACGTGATCGGAATGCCCTTATATTCGCTGGGGAAATCGCTCCCTTTGTTTGCCTTGTTGTATACGAAAAAAGGAAGTCCTTCACGTTTAAGGGGAACTTTTGCTCCTGCTCCTCTCGACGCACGTCGGCTTTCCTTCGAAGGAGTCATTAAAGACTCCTGCAAATTAGCTAAATCGCTCTCCTAAATATTGAGATTAATAAACTACTTTCAGTTTTTGTTTACTTTTAAACTGCATATATTCAAGGTATCAGGAGCTTTTTATGGCTCTCGCACAATTTTATAAACATGACAGACTGAAACGGCCAATTTACACAGAAACGAATGGTCGTTTGCCCATTTTCTAAGCATGGCAATCTCCCGGTAACCCAAACGACCATTCACCACTTATTACCAACCCTGTTATACCCATTAAAATAAACTTCATTTCTAAATCGATAAGTTTCAATTCAAGTTTTCAACCTTATATAACAAAGACTTTTAAAACTATTATGCCAGTAAAACAATAGTCTTACTTGACTTTAGGTTCATTTAATATAGCCAGATCATTAACAGGAACTTGTACACCTTTCTCCCAATCTTGTCTCCATGTATCAGCTATCAATAAATAATCATCATTCTGTAATTGTTCTGAATCCGCCAGTTTCATAGCACTAATCAGATCTTTACGGTACAGCTGAAAAATACACCACAGAATGAAAGAAGACAAATAAACAAATATCAATCTGTTCAAATAAATTAAAATGCTAATTAGCATTTAAATTGTTACAACTACATCAGTAACAATCAGATCTCTCAGAATCAAATGTTCCTGCCACTGTGGGCAAATCAAAACAAACAAATCATGATAAGGTCATACAAAGAAAAAATAGTATTCTCAGACAATCCTTTATTGTTAATGTAAATGCTAATTAATTGTACATTCCAATCAATTACTATATACATCCAAATGAATATATTTATGTACATGTATTGTAGATAATGTATATTTTTAAATAACAAGATTGCTACATCCACTCTTTACCTCAGACCTTGTTTCTTTATCATTTAATAATTTTATTGTTGGCGATACTAAATAAAACGGACATTAAATAAAGCTATTTAACACACACAACTAACTCTAATCCTGATCTACCTGCATGAAAATTATTACTTACCTCAGCTGGTTTGTTGTGGGGAGTAAAACTGAATGATGGACTACGTAAACCATTTGGGCCATGTTTACTAACTGGTGCTAAAAATAAATTAATTTAAATTATGAATCAAAATAAGCATGTTATAAAATTAATTTCAATATCAAATCTTTAATATATAATATGTGTACTGGTAAACTACAGCTCTCAAATTAACCACTGAAAAACTTTGGTAAAGGCAACAAATCTTTGGTTTTTTTATGTATTAATATTAGTTATAGTGTTACAATTCATTCAGAACAATAAAACTCCCATGTCAAAATCTTGGCATTAATTGTGAATTTCCAACGCTACGATTTCTAGGTACATGTAGAGTCACTGAATAAACAAATATCCTGATAAACAATCATAATAACAAAACAACCTTTCAATATCACTTGTATAATAGCCATTGAAGTAGGTCAACAAAACAATCATATAATTTTGCTCTAAATAGCGTTTCCTGATATAATCTAGTATATTATACTGTTGCTGACAAAGGATCATTTCTTTAAATAAATATATATCCTAATTACTGAATGTTGTGGCATAGTGATTAGTCGTACATAATTTATTTCATGGAGCAATTTCAATTATGGCTGTCAGAGAAACTTGCATATGTGTTAGTGAAAGAGCACAAATGATGGACTTCATGGAATGAGTCAAACAAATTTTGATAGCTTTATCTCCCCAAAAATTATGAAATTTTAATGACTGGATGACAACATATCTAGTACCAGATTAATTGACCCTTATAGTCATTGTATGTATAGTCTGTCATCTACGAATGAATAAACAATTACAAAAACAACAATTTGTGTTGATAATAAAGAAATGATATGGTGCTGTAGTCGTCATTGTACATGTATTTGTACATGTCCAGATGACCTAATAATAGCTAATATGCAGCTAAAGGTAGGCACAGGGGTTCTTTTTGTGCCTAGAAAAATTCCAAATTGAAATACCTCAATTCTACAAAATACCCTGGATGTTCACTTCACATGCATTAAAATGAAATGGGGTTTAACGTACTACTGTTCTACACCAACAGGGCTAATGAAGACGGGCTTACGCCATACAGTGTGCTATGATGAAAATTTTGCCTGGACAGTTGCGATACGGCCTACTAGAATTCCAACTGCCAGTAGGGGTTTCAGGTCTAAGTTTCAAATGACAGAAAAAATTTTTTATAAATATTTTGTGAAAATATACATAAAATGCTACCCCAAATTTTTTATTTCATCAAAATATTCTAATTAGATCCAAAATTTTGGAATTTTAAAATCCGAGATTGACATCAATGATGTACCGTAATCAAATGCTGTATACCAGTCAATGCGTGGCATGGCACCAAAATAAGTGCTTTTCAGTCATATCTTAGTGACGTCATAAGCGGTATTTTCTCTTCAGAATCGCTAGTATCAATTTTAAAACAGAAATCTGCACGTCATAATCAGCTCAGATTTATTAAAATCGTAATAATTTGAATGATAATATGTCAAATATTTATAATCTGGATGATACCACAAAAAAGTAGGATATATTTATTCGAAATTTAGAAAATTTTAGTCAGCAAAACAGATAAATCCCGTTTTCTAAGGCTGTAATTGTCGGATCTCGGAGTATCACGCATCATAATATTCACAAAAATGTTATCTATCGTTTGATTGGTTCTACATGTATATTAAAATCCCACGGAAACTAAGGTGCGGATTCACCAACGAAGTGAGCCGTAGCAATGAAAAATCCCCAGTCGCATTACGTCAGAGTTGTATCAATATACATGGGATGCGGGTCGGTTCATCCCACAACCGTTCCACCCCGGGCTGTTTCATCCCAACCTAATTTTTTATCGGGCTGTTTCACCCCCCTTGTTATTATAATAGCAGTCAATTAACTGAGTTGTACTTATCATTAAATAAACTGTTAAACACTTACTTATTGTTAAATAAAAAATAATATATGGAATGAATAAGTTTTACTCGTCGATTTTTGTTGATTACTGATCACGACCGAGATTAGTTCACCGCTGTATATTCGTATTGTTAGTTAATTGCCGTTATGATTTTAGATTAGTTCACCGATGTTTTTGTAATAAAGTATACTCATATGTATTGTTAGTTACTTTATGATGTCTAACATCATTTTTCTTCTTTATAAAAAGGTATTTTATAATTACATATTGACAGCTTAATCACTCACCAAAATACATCATGAATCATGGGCTCTATACGTATTATCAAATAATCAACTAAATTGTGCAGGAGCCCCTTTTAAATAAGACAAATTAAATTGATAATTAATTTTAAAACTAATCGTTGATTTAATTTCCGTACACGAAATGAAACTAAACAATTCCAAATATAAGAATTCATTTAGAATACCAAAATGTGAATCGTCACACATTGTGGTCTAAACTGTGTGATAAATGATAAAATAAATCGTAAATCAATGGAACTTGTTGTATGGTGGACATTGCATGCTTTCTTTTAACCTTGGGTTTATTTGAGGCGCCAGGTAGTCTGAACATCTCAAGATAACACATGACGAATTAGTGGCTTTGTGCAATTTTATTCTTTGATCTGTTCTATCACTGGCAATCCTGTTATAGTGAAACCAACTATTCATGATAAAATTGCATTGACATATTGTTATTGGTATTAATGTATAAATAAATTATTAAAAAATTCATGTAATACCGGTTTTTAAATTTGTGGGATGAAACGACTCAATATAAGTGGGATGAAAGGACCCGTGTAAATTTGGGATGAAAAGCCCAGATGAAACAGCCCGGGGTGAACCGGTAGTGGGATGAAACGACCTGCTACGTTACTTGTACTACTTGTAGTTGTTACACATTAGATTTAGTAATTATTACTTTTTTTGGATGGTATATAGTCTTCTTCATCATCATCGGTGCTTAACCTTCTTTTCTTACTGCCTTTGTTTGCCATTTTTTTACTGAAACAGAAATTTTACAATACAACTGATGTCATTATAATACAATTAAAGAATGCAAATACCAGCATACAATATGTTGTCATACAGATCTAATGTTTACAATGTGATACTAAAAATAGATCAATCCGACATTTCATTGGTTAAATCAAGCGGGTGAATTTATGTCATATTTGAGGCGTTTATTAAATTCTATCTTTTTTAATATGGTGCTAAAATTGTAGATGAAGACCTATAACATCAATATAGTGTATTTTAACCTATGTCAATTGGCTGAATGAACGAACTTTGAAATAAAATTTGACCTGACCCAAATTCCTAAAAAAAAAAAAAAAAAATAACACCATCGCATTCACGAACGACAAATTTTCCTTAATCTAATTACGTATTCATGACCGTATAAAACGTATTTTGACCAGAGTACTAACCTGGGCGTTCCGTTCTGATGCTGCCATAAATATTCCTGAATGTAGCTATACAAATTCCAAATTGATAATCGCAATATTAACTAAATTATTAAAAGAAATTTGGAGATGGTCATTTGGCGCCATCATGGCGATAATTTTCACGTTATTTTAAGTCACGTGACCGGAAATGAATATCAGTAAAACATTATACAGCAACTGTTTTGTAGCCACGGTTTCGAACGCTCTTTTACATGGATTTTTGATGACAAATACACGCAATAAACATACTTGCGAGAGTTCAACGTGTACTTCCACGATGGCGATATCACAGAGCACAATAAACAACACGTAAACAAACAACTAAGGTACAGCTATGAAAGACTACAAGTAATAATTTTGTAAATTGAATGGATGGTACGTGGAAGTGGACAGGTCCAAAATGCAGAGCGGGACGATACGAAATAATTATGCCGGTTTGTTTACTGTTTTTTGTAAACATCGCGTTGAATGGCGATCGATTTTAAAAAAAAGTAAATCCAAGTGACCAATCTTCCATTGTAAAAAACAGATCGTATGGAAAAAAGAAAAATGCAATTTAGATTAGGCTACTTGTACTATACCGGTACTACTAGTAGTAGGCTACTACTGCAGGAAGTTTTATATAAAATTATTCTGAAAGTAATCGTTCATTCAAATGAGTATTATTATTAGATTAAGACCCGAAGTCTGACTATGCAATTGTTAGGCCTATATGTGAATTTTTCTTGTATCGAGAAAATTACATTTAAAGATTATTTGTACTATATAAAATCAGGGAATTATCAGAACATTCTTGATATACTATTTATATTCAATTTTGACGAAAACTGGAAATATAGGTTTATATCCCAACGAATATCTCAGTGCCTTTCGATATTACCATGTATCGGACCGTTACTTCATGGATTATGGCCCCTGATTTTACAAACAATTCACGTTTTTAGCTTGTGGACACACTACAGGTCACAATTTTTTTTATCCGATTTTGATGAAACCTAAAATGTATGTTTATAACCGAAAGATCTCGGTTCCTTTCGATATCGGCGTAGCCTATATCGGACCGTAACGTCCTGGATTATGGGCCCTGATTGAACGAAAAATCGCGTTTATAGCTTGTGGACCCTCTAAAGTTCACAATTTTTATCCGATTTTATAAACCGTTCAAATATAACACCGTGAATTTCGTGAAAATCGAACCGAAACTGCCCGACAAATGGCCGCTCCTCGTACGGACATAGTGTGTAAGTAAGTATTTAATACCAAGGTTGTGGGCCCTCTAGAGGTCACAATTTGGCGCATATCGGACCGTAACTTCCCGGATTATGTCCCTTGATTGTACGAAAACTCGCGTTTTTTTAACCGGTTTTTCAATGTCTGAAACATTAAGGTCATGAATAAACGAACACTATCGATATTTGCCGTTCTGTGCCCTTCCGTTTGGGAATTATCCCCTTTATAAAAAATGGGATATATGTTAACAAATGACAGCTTATTGCATTTCATCTGATATTGCTTGGTTTAGTATACATAGGAAAATAATAACCAATATTTTCGCGTAGATATTGCTCCTGGCATCTAAACGTGGCAAAACCGTAATGGGCGAAACATCATTAAAGTTGGTCGACATATTATGGACTGAAAAGTAAATGCTTCAACATACAGTTCCAGGCCAGGGACACAAAGAGTTGACACCTTAAACATCTCCACTTCTTGATCAACATAGTCCAAACCCACTAGAGGGATTTCTACGCAAATGGCTTTTCGGAGTAGCAGTAGCACGACCTCATCTGCATGTAGAGATGGGGTAGGATACGTTTTCGAATTCTTCGCTCAACATATTTGACGGTTTTCAATAAAATTTGTTAGAATATTTGTTTTAATAAAGTCGCTGGACAGCGTGCCGCGATGGGAGGGGTTTCGACATGTTCAGCTACTAAAATCTCAAAACTGTTTCAGGAACACCCGATGCATTTGTCACCAGCCTCATCTGCACGATAGATTTAATTTTGTTTTCTCTTGGAAAGATTTGCATATTTTTAGCACTTTGTACGTTCCCTGTTTTGTCTGTTGTAATACAACCGGAGCAGAACGGTAGGACATTAAACACCATTCCATTTCATTTCTTGTAATAATAATAATAAGAGTTCTTATTATGTGCTGGACCCCAAACAGTGTTTTATGCTGAAATCGCTGACAAAATTTTCAGAAAATAGTTTATAAATATGAACACTGAAATGGGTAGGGTTTTACTTGTTGTCCAAAGCCGCTTAAAAGATGGGCTGTCCATAGATGTAGTGGTAGAGAGTTCCGTGTACATATATGTGCTGCATTATAGGAAATGATCTGCAGCCAAAGGTCTTAGGTTACGTAATAAACACATGGAATCAGATTTCAAACGTGAACATGACAATTATTTTTGGAGATGATGATGATGATGATAATTAGTGCAGCCGTATTCTGTAGTTTTGTTTTCAGCCGAGATACCTGCCAAGAGGATGTCGGAGTTGTCCAATCTGGAGATTACTAGTGATCCGGTTATTGTCACGGCCGCAAACTACGTCAACGAGTGGCGGATATTACCAATATTTCGCAAGTGGAAATATCCCTTTCTGACTATTTCCGAGACGCATCTGTCACGGTTAGGAATACGCCCAAGAATTTTAACATATGGTCAAATTTAGACAGTCACGCCCAACTTCCCGTCTATGTTTTAAGGGGCCGATAATTATAGATCTTAGTTGTAATGTTATAATGTCTGTATTGTTTGTGTTGTGCTTTGTCGTGTTTCTGCAATGTCGCTTAAAGTAGCTAAGTCTCTAACTCAATATCATGAAAAATCTTCGACATAGAAAACACGAATTATTTGTCAATTCAAATCAACATTGGTCTTGTGGTCTTACAGGGAAAAGATGGGCTTCTGATATCCAATATTCAAGACAAAATAATCATTTTGTCATTGGTATACGAATCGTGTACCATAATGCGTTTCAGCGCCATTTTGAACAAGGGGCTCAAAGAACGCGGCTAGATATATTCCACAAGTCATGTCAAATGGTGACGCTATATTCTTATCTGGAAAGCATGCGCAATAAATATCATCGGTGTAGACTGGAATAACCAGACGCTAAAGATTAGAAATTACAGTAAAACAGAAACAGTTGAATGTAAATCAGTTTATATACATTCAAATTACATTATTATATGCCTTGCGACCCATTTGTGTCAATTTCTTGGTCCCAAATATTAGCGATTTAGCTCCTTTAAGTATGGTAGTATGTCGGTAGTATCAGTCGTGAGAGAAATGACGTTTAACGTCCACTCGACACAAACTAGGTCATTTCGGAACTAACATGGTTCAATTTTATTTCAATTATTCGCTTGCGCGTAAGGGTCTTTAGCAGTGGGAGGAAACCGGAGGACCCGGAGAAAACCCACGAGGTCGGACAGGCGACCCTACTCTTTGTCATGTACAACCAGAGAATCGTAACCATGCCAGTTGACTCAATGGAAGACATTATGATACAACGAACACGCGCTAACCTCGCGCCCCTCCCCACATTAATCGTAAATAGCCGTAGTTATTTTAATTTGTCCAAATGATGAGATGGTGCGGTTCCAATAAGGGCGGGACAGAGGCAACCTTGATAGGACAAATTAGATCATTTTTGGTCACACTTTATCGATTACATCAAATGTTGCGCAATGTTACATTTGAATTGCAATTCAATTCTAACTATACTCGGGATCTTAGTTTTTCGTGCAATCCGAACGACTAGTCAACGAAATGAAATGAAATGAAATGGGGCTTAATTAACGTCCTATACTTTCTTCTGCTTTATTTGGACTAATGAAGACGGGATAGTCATTGAAAAAACACAACCAACAATTAATTAACACTTAACGTAGACTTTATTTATAGGTCTGTATTTGCTCTAATCCAGTTCAAAAATTTGGACACCCTTCCATAGACACTTGGTCTGGTTCCACCACACCCACTTTCTCCCCATGATGTAACACCACATACATTAATACCACCATTTCCATTAGGACAATACATGGGTCCTCCACTGTCTCCCTAATCAAAATAAATCAGAAAATCGTTTATCCAGAGTTTATAAGAACAAATTAAATTTTTATTGAAAATGTCCATAATAATTTAAATCTCAAACACGTTATTTATTGCCATGACCTACCGATTCCAACCAGTGGTAAGAGATAATTATCCTCAGCAACCACTTGTAATAGGTTGCCTTAGTCAACAATACAAAATTAATCAACGGCACAATTTTGACCGTAACCCCTGCTACTGCATAAATGGTACGGTCCGAGAGGGAAAAACCCATAAGAACGAATGATCCGTTTGGGAATGCGTTCAATATTCTCAAAAGTAACTTACGTTGCAAGCGCTTGTTCCAAAGCTTGGATCAAAAACACAGATGTGTGTTTCAAGAACTGCTGCTCCGGATACACCCGACCATTCACTAGTACAAGCTGATTGTGATATAACAGGCATACTGACTTTCTGTAATAACCTGGATATACCACCTGTGTAATAAATAGACAGATATACAGCCATCGGTCATCTGCATCAGATGTAACCATCGGTGATCCTAAGCAAATTTTGTTTCATTGAAACAATGATTTGATTAAACAAAAGTGTACTATTAGATATTCTTATGTTCTTACACCATTTATGTCACAACACTGCCAGGAAGGAAAACTCACCATTTATTATGGGATACTATTTCAGATATTTTGCATTTAAGATAAAATATAAATTAACGCATTAGTAGGCCGACATACTTACTGTCTGATCCTCTTAATTTACCCCAACCGGCCAAAATAACAGATACTCCATCATAACTATCGTCTGGGGACAGTTCAATTGTTTCTACAAATCCAGTAAGTAAGTTGGCAGGACTGGACAATCTAAGTACAGCAATGTCATTAGGGTAGCCAGCAGCGTTTGAGTCATATCCAGGATTCTGTATGAATATGAAGACAAATTTACCATGTAGATATTATGTAAGTATTGTATAGGTAGTTTGATACAACACGGACCCGTGTGTGTTTCAAAATTTATTCTTTCTTTAGTGACACAGTTAAGATTAAAGCAGTAGTTTGACACATAATAGATCCAAAATAATAGATAATGCAAAATGAATATATTGAAAATTTCATTCAAATTACTTTATTCTGAGCCAAGTTATCACTGTTTGTAGTTTTAACAAGATGTGTGCATTGTTATTTATTATCTTAACAACAATACTGGAATATTTGAGACTTTGTCTAGCTTTTCCATTTTTAAATTAAACCACTAAATGGCCAAACCGTTCTAATCCAGTTAAAATCTGGAGCATCCTATGGCATCGAGAGTTGATTATGGTCTTGTTATGTTAATAAATGTCTAATTAATAGTTTATATAACATTTATGGCCTAAAGAAAGATCGGCAATAGACAGATTTAACTCTTGCATAACATTTAACTGAATATCATAAAATTTTGTTACATTTCTTATTTCAAGATATATTCTTTCTAATTTTAGGATATATACTTTCTTATTTTAAGATTTTTAATTTAAACATACATACCATTATAATTTGGGCAATACTAATACGTTGCTGATTTGGTTCAGTGGTATCCAGGTTATGTTTACCAAGTTCTACTCTAAGGTTACTGGCTCTGGAGAGATAAACATTTTGTTTTGCTCATGGCATGATATGCCTAGGTTATAATAAGCCTAGGTTATATTTATAGGTTATATTTATAAGCCTAGGTTATATTTATATGCCTAGGCTACCTGTGCACTGGGGTGGGGTGGAGCGACAACGATCTTTCAACCGACGTTAAATTAATTTACAAAAATACGATATCATAAAGAATTGAAGTCGAAAATTAGTTTGTGTATTCCCAAAATTTATTGAAGTCACGGCTGTAACAACTATAAATATTTTTTAGTAAATATAGCGGAAAATATTGTTTCTTACGATTGGCCGTCAACACAATGTGCAGCTGTTAGAACATAGTTTTGTGATATTAGGATTCCACCACAACTATGACTCCACAAAAATCCTAAGAAAGCGACCTGGAGTGAAGCAATATGGGGAAATTCATTTGGTGTTGCTTCTTCTCCATTAACAATTCTCTGAGTGGGTTTGGCTGAAAGAACAGAAGGCACAATATTGAATAACACATTTTTGTAAAGATTATAATTAATAATAATAACGAAATTTATATCGCGCCGCAATTCACACCAATAGTGCATGCTTTAGGCGCATTAAAGGGTTCTCGTGGATTAATTATAGTGACTAAACAGCCATGTTTTCACACTTGATTTGAAGATAGACAATGTTTCACATTTTGGAATGGAAGGTGGTAGCGAATTCCATATATAGGGTTGATGCATTGTACTGAAAAGTCCTTGAACCAAATTTCTTCACGTTATAAACCGGTGCATCTTACAATAGTTTACTCTCGGATCCCAGTGACCTTTTTGGTTGGGAGTGTATCAACAGATTTTGAAGATATATTGGTTCTGTTATATTTAATGTTTTGTATGTCAGAGTTAATTCGCTCGCGCACTCGGAGCCAGTGAAGATTATTTAAGACGGGAGTGATGTGTGATTTTGATCTCGCTTTCGTCACAATGCGCGCAGCGCGATTTTGGATCCTTTGAAAAATCTTTATCATCAGTTACTCCAGAAAGTACGACATTGCTGTAATTCTAGACAGGACGAAAGATCGAGTCAGTGCAGCAGCAGCACCTTCAGGTATAACACGACGGATTGATCCTATTCTTCGAAGATGAAAATGAGAAATCTTGCAGATGTTGTATATGTAAGAGTTGAAACTGAGGTTTGATTCTATGAAAACGCCAAGACTTTTCACAACATTTGATATCGGAATATCTGAATTGCCTATTTTGAGAGAATTCACAATGGAAGTATTAAGTCTGTGATCAGGTCCAATAAGGAGAAACTCAGTTTTGTTGTCGTTAAGCTTTAACATGTTGGCAGACATCCAGTTCTTAATACCGTTTAGGCAACTTTCCAAATAACCAATTGTATTGTGGAGAGCTGGCTGGCAGTAATGAGGTTACATTTATCGATCAGCTGTGTGTCATCAGCATAAAACATCGTATTGTATAAATGAGGTTTCCGGGCGATTTTGTACACAGTGGACGTGGTTTCCCTTGTCAGTGGTGCAGAAGCGAGGTCTCGTGTACGTAAAAGACTCATTGGCTGTTTGGACTTGATATATGAGTAGGTCGTAACGCCGCTGTCCAAGCATAATTTCCCTCATAGCACACTTTCTGGCGTATGCCCGTCTTCATTATAGCCCATTCGGAGCAGATTAGTAGGATGCTAAACCTCATTTCATTTCATGCGTATACAGTGTAAATAAGAGGGGTCCCAACAATGACCCCTGAGGTACCCCACAGGATAGTTGTACTTGCTTTGACGAAGAGTTGTTAATGTTAACATACTGATATCGACTGTGGTTAGATATGAGCCGAACCACTGTAAAGAAGATCCAGCTATTCCGTAGTCAGTTACTGATACTTCATGAATCGACGGATGAAAGTGTCGATGAAAGAAATCAAAGCTGTTTCAGTCCTTTGTGTGGGGCGATGGGCTGACTGGAACTCAACAAAGAGCTAGAACTGGTCTAGGTAGTCAATTATCTGCGGCTTGACTATACCTTATCAAGAATCTTTGAGGGGAATGTTAGATTAGATACAAGACTTCTTGATTACAGGCTTATTAGCACTACAATGGAAACTAATAACTGGTGTAACAATTTTCAACATACCCACTGCAGCTCCCAGAATCGCTAACAGAACAATAGACTTCATCTTGATTTAAAGTGTTGTGTAACATCTTTCGTAATTCTGGCTTTTATAGAAATTTTATTCAACAAATGGTATTTTCACAATACTTGAAAGAACCCTAAAAAAAAACGCTCATAAACTTAAGACACTTAGCTTTTAAAAGAGCCATAAATTACCAATTACAAACTATTTTATTTAAACAATATTTTTATCAAACAAATAGGCTTGAAACCTATATCAGCCCTTTCCATAGAAACAAAGGTAAAATATGTTTAATGTAGAAACATTAGATTTAATAAACATATAATATACAGAAGTTGTGTGAAATTGTATTTTGCACTGATTTTGAAATTAAAATCTATGACTTTGTTGTATAAAAAGGTAAAAAGCTTTATTTAGTTTTACAGTATATTTGATTCCAATGGCAAGTTTTTATATCCCTGTAAAATCATTTCTAAAGTAACATTTTGATCATTTATAATTTTGCTAATAATTTCGAACAATATGGACATATAGAAAAACATATCGGTTGACATGCAATATACGCTCAAATTTGGCAAGAGATGCTTCACATCGAATTTGAGAAATCAACTGCTGTTTAGAAGGTTTTCGGCAAAGGGGGGAATAACTCAGGTCACGGAACGCTGAAATTCGACAGAGTCCGTCTTTGCACGACTGCAAATCTACCCACTAAATTTGAAATAAAGACGTTAAGAACTGTGGCCTCTGTCACGTTCAGATTTTTGGCAAGGAAGGTTAAGGAAATGAAATGAAATGAAATGAAATGGGGTTTAACGTCCTACTGTTCTGCTCCGAACTGGGCAAATGAAGACGGGCATATGCCATACAGTGTGCTATGAGGGAAATTTTGCCCGAACAGCGGCACAACGGACTACTCTTATATCGAATTCCAACTGTCGAGGGATCTTTTAGGTGCACACCAATGTGTAAACGGGACCTCGGTTTTTCGTACCATCCGAACGACTATACAGCTGTCATTGTCAGGCCCTCCGTCCTGCATCACGGGGGAACCACGCCGGAAAATCTGGATGAACTTTCTCGGTCAATGCAGGGATCGAACACCCGACCGCTGAATATCGATAGATTCATCCTAATGATTCACGGGGGGGTGGGGGGGTGGGGGGCGGCTGGATGGCCGAATGGTTATGCCTGTCATTGAGTTTCAAATCCCCGGTTGTACGTGATAAGGAGTAGGGTCGCCTGTCCAACCTCGTGGGTTTTCTCCGGGTCCTCCGGTTTCCTCCCTATGCTAAAGACCCCACGCGCACGCGAATTATTGAAACTTAAACAAAAAACATATGTTAGTCCCGAAATGAACTAGTTTGGTTTGTGTCGAGTGGACGTTAAACCTCATTTCTCTCTCTCTCCCCAATGCTTCACACCAAGTTTGAAAAGATCTGTTAAAAAGTTTTCGGCTAACGGGGGATAACCCTGGAACGAAAGGTTGCGGAACGGTGATTATAGATAGAATTTCTCCTCTCATGACCCCCATGCTTCAAACTAAAATTGGGGAAAAAAATCTGTTAATAATGACAGCTTCTATCGCGTTCACAATGTATTTAGGAAATGGGTCCTAACTCCGGAACGGAGAGTCCGATGAGCACCATAGTCAAAATCATCCGATATCTTTTAATACGGACAGTGTAAATCATAAAGAGCCGGTTAGATGTGGCTCTCACCCGAGAGCCTCAAATTTATTCTTTTTTCTTCAGAAACAAAAATACCAGAATACCAGAAGCACCATCCAACGAAGACCATCAGCGCCACCAACACTGAAAAACAGTGAAATCGCCATTGTATATAAATCTAATGTATTGTATGTATTTATAATAAAACTAGGAAATATCACGAACTAATTTTTCATCATCCTAGCTAGGTCAGTGCTTATGTGGAGACTTAACCCCTCCCCAAATTCTTAAACCTAACCTACGTTCCTGCCAACAATCACGTGCCCTAACCTTATTTACATTTCAGCGACCTTGACGAAAATTGAGCTGGCCTTAACAAATAGATTTAGTCGGTATGGTTCTAAGCCTTCACTGCGCAGTCTAATCTCGTCAGCACGGTTTGACAATGTACCTAGTTTGGTTCTGTATCTTGTGCATATCAAAAAGACCAATTACTTATCTATTTGGTTCCCTGTTTTCAGATGGAACGTATTTGATGACTGTGTCTTTATAGCCTAATTTCATGACAATTAGGCTGTGCGGTAGCTTTAATTTTGTAGAATTTAGAGATTGGCACTTACAGACGCTTCCACAGTCTTCGGGCATAATACATTGAAACAAATGTGTTGTGCTGGGATTCGACCCACAATTACAAAATGACAAAGGACCAAGGCTAAAGAAATGTGGCAGGAGGTCCCAAAACTTGACAACTCAGAAGGATTCTTATTGTCACAGATGGCCAAAAGGAACAGTTTGACGCCCATACTGTGCTTAGAGATGTCAATTAACGTTAGAATGATGACCTCTGACCTACTCAGAAGTTGGTGAATCCCCTTAATTAAACAGGGTTTACACGAGTCACATGGATGGACTTCAGATGTGTTATAAAAGCAATTTTGGTGATAGTGTGAACAGTGACCATTCGGGTGTGTTGGGTGGGTCAAGGCAAAATATAGACATTGCAAATATCAAATCAAGTGAATTTTTAGTTGGGAGTCATGGTGGCTCATTGAGTAAGACTATGGACCTGTATTATAAGGTCCATGGTAATTATAAGGTGCATGCTAAGACGCTGAACCCTCGGGATTTTCTAGCGTGGTTTCCCCTTATAATTGGTGCAGTCGTTCGGAAAGGGCGAAAATCCGAGGTCCCGTGTACACAATGGCATGTACGTAAAAGAACCAAAGAACTCTTGACATATTGAATTCGATATAAGAGTAGGCCATAGCGCCGCTCTCGGGGCAAAATCTTCCCCATAACACACTGTAGGGCGTATGCCGTCTTCATTATCCCAGTCGGTGCAGAACAGTAGGACGTTAAACCACATTTCATTTACGTCTTTAGACAGTAAGAATAAATAGACCCAGTTGCTATGGGCAGTAAAATACATCCGAAAAATTAGAAAGAGGACGAAATGTTGATAACTCGAAATAAATAAAAAGACCTTGTTTCATTGTACATATTTTTTTTAAATAACAGCCACTGGCCAATTATAGATCAGTATTAGAACGAATCCATTCTGTGAATTTAGATACCCGTCCATATATAGTTGGTTTGATTACCAGGACATCCAGAGGCACCCCATGACGTAACTCCACATACAGAACAATACATAGGCCCTCCACTGTCTCCCTGTTAATAGTAACCGGTAAAAATCTATATTGATACATGAATATATTTTACACCGAGTCTAGAATTCTAAATTTTGGAAATAAATTGTACCTTCAATAAAACTTAAAGTAAGTTAGGCAATTATTACTCTCGAGTTGATAAAAGTGATTGAAATGCTTTCAATTTGTTTGTATTTGCCCGAATTGCCTTTAATAGAATCGTATAGCCAGACACTTTGTGTGTCTTTAAAATATCTCAATAAAAAGAGATGTTTGGGGGGGGGGGGGCGACAATATACGACCAGGTGGATGACAGCATAAAAATGATAATATTTTGCTTACATTACAAGCTCCGGTTAAATCAGAGGGTTCAAAAACACAGATATGAGTCTCAAAAATATGTTGCCATTCATTTATACAAGTTGTCTGGGATATAACAGGAATGGTGACTTTCTGAAGACGTGTGGGTGTGCCGGCTATAAAATAAATGTCATAAATCTTAAAAGATGTCTCTTAATTCATTAAAACGGGTTTATTTTACGGAATTATATTGTTGTACAAAGTATAGTTGGTCACTTGTTTACAAAATATATTCCATATTCCATACAAATAGTATATGAGGTTGTCGTTGTTGCAGGGGCGCACTGGGGAGAAGTATGGTAGGATCGGAGGCCCCTAAAGAAGTTAGTGTTATCACGTAGTTCGGAGTCCCGTTTTTTTAGATTGTGGGGCCTTTTAAGTGTTGATTTGACACTGTTTTTGATGAACTGGAAAGCTAACCACATGCTAAATTTGTGCATAAGCTAGAAAAATCAGGATATACTCTAGAAAGTACTATTTAAAGTCAGTTTTTCACCTCACCCCTAAACACCACCCTCATCCCTATATATAAGAGTAGACCCTCACGACGACAGGTTCAGGGTCCTCCGGCTTCCAGTCCGTCCCTGGGTGTTAGTGCTTGTTGTTTTGATGTGAAATTCATAATAAGAAAGAATTTTGATTCTGATTATTTGATTGTTTGGTAATACATGTTCATGGTTAATAGATTGAATTAAAATAAAACTAACTTACAATCTGATCCTTTCAATTTACCCCAACCTGCCAAAACAACATTTTCTCCTTCGTAACTCAGGTCTGGTGCCAATTCGATAGTTTCTATAAATCCTGGAACTAAGTTAGCAGGATTTGACAATTCAAGTACAGCAATATCATTAGGATAACCTTCTGCATTGCTATCGTAACCTGGATGCTAGAAAATAATCGTCAAAATCTTGTTGAAAAGGGGCAAAAGAGTACAATTCAGTGCATATGTACCCCAAATGTCAGGAAATACCATTAAATTGTACCCCCACCCCCCATATAAATTATACATACCATTATAATCTTAGAAATACTGATACGTTGTTGATTTGGTTCAGTGGCGTCCAAGTTGTGCTTTCCTAATTCGACTCTCAGATCACTGGCTCTACAAATAAAGTTGTTATTGGCTGTAAATTGTATTTATTTAATTATTGAAATACATGTACATAGCAATATGATGTTTATCGTAATATCAGAGCTTTCAAAACGACAAATTCCAAATATCTCTACAAACCAAATCACAGCGAGGTTAAAATCCAGCTCAAGCAATTGTTCTTGTTCTGCTTACCTTTGAAAGAACGCCTAATACACATTCCCATATCATGAGTTCATGGTGTATGTTTGTATTTTAAAAATAATATTTGATAAAA